AGGATGTCTTGTCAAAGCTTCGTGTGATCGAGATGTCAACCTGCAGCGTGCCTGGTCACTTCGCGTTTACCGACGTGCGCACTGAGCAATTGATCGCAGCATGTAGCAAAGCTCTAGTGAGACATGGACAGGCACGTACAATAAGGTGACGTTAATTCTGCATTAGCTTGCTACTTTTGCAAGTACGGACAACCTTGTCCAACTTTTCAAAAACCATACGGCAAGCAAGCGACTCACGGCAACGTATGGATCCATGGAGTATGTGCATATGTTTTACATATATGAGAATGCCTATCGAGCTAGTGAACGTGTGATTAAGAGATTAAAGATGCAAAGTATGGTGGTCAAGGGAGTTTGTCCTGAGATTTGTCAGGTACTCATGCGTGGAAAGCTGGTTATGTCCGTCGATACATTGACACTGGTCACACTGAGGTGCTCAGATTGTATAAATGACTGTATAATGACAATAGCGTGCCGGCCATAATTGTATTGATCAGCCGTATTGGGCTCTGTGCTTTCATAAGGCATTACCGGGAAGTGTATCCCCCAATTGTGCACTTCCTGAATTGCTGCGTATTGTCATCATAGCATTGTAGAAGAAGGTTGTATTTGTGTGTGTAGCGCTCGAGAGGTTACGGCAGCGACCTCATAGCGCACGGCAGTTAGCAGCGCTAGGGGGCGGTTCGAATGGCGCATCGCTGCCGCAGTGCATCCAGAATCAAGATCCTTATCTGAGCGCTTCCCTGCCTGGAGGTACAGCCGAGCGTGCGGTGCGATCTGCGCTGCCAAGAATCGGTATGCAAGAACCTGGACAAGCCCTCGGGCAGGAAGCTGAAGGTGACGGAGCGCTTGCGATGGGGGATGAGCAGGTTCGGGACATCCTGCGGTTTCCTGGTCCCTCGTCGAAGAGCAGAAAACGGGTCCACAAGAAGGGGAAGAAGAAGGGGAAGACAGTTTCGATGCTGGCGGCAGACGAGCGGCTTCTAACAAGCGCGGAGATGCTTGCGGAGATGCGGGAACTCGAGGAAGAGAAGCAAAGAAAAGAGAGGGAAAGACAAGAAAGGGCTCTAGAGCGGGAGAGAAAAGCAGAGGAAAAGAAGGAGACAGAGAAAAGAAAAGCAGAGGAGAGGAAGAGGAAGGAGGCTGAGCGGGAGGGAAAAAGACGGAGGGAGACTTAGGAGAAAAAGGAGAAAGAAGAGCGGAAGAAGCGGGAAATGGAAGAGAGAGCGGAGAGGCGGCTAAAGGAAGAAGCAGAAAAAGAAGAGAGGCGCTTGGCAAGAGAGGCACAACGGGAGGCAAAGAAGAAAGAGGAAGAGAAGCGTAGAGCTGCCAAAAGAGCGCGCGAGATTGAAGGAGAGAGTAACAAAGCTGGGCAGTCGGGACGGGGACCAAGAAAGAAGCGGAAGGATCCTCCAAGTGAAACGATTGCTGCCCCTTACCAGCTGAGCGGTGGTGGTTTGCCAGAGCCTCCAGCGTGTGACCCGGACGGAGATAATGCAGCTTTTGGTCCAGGCGGGCACGCTCTTGCATGGCAGACGCAGCCATTTCTGGCCCCAGGCCAGTACTACGGACTCAATGGTACTACGGACTCAATGGTACTACGGACTCAATGGTACTACGGACTCAATGGGCCCAAGCAGCTGCTCCTTTTGGGCTGCCTTCGGTGCAGAGCTTCTTTGCAGCTGCTCAAGCGCAGCGAGGATGTGAAGCGTCCAACTCAGAATATGCGACCGCAGAGCAGAGCACGTGCTGGCCCTGGCAGAGGCCAAGAGAAGACCTGCACCATGGCTACTAGTTGTTGCTCTGTTGCTCTGTTGCAAAGTGGGAAGGAGTGTTGACATCAGCACAATTGAACATCAGCAGCTTGAACTCCTTAGTGTCTCACAATAGGTCATAGAGTTGTGACCTCTGGAGTTGGCTCAGAATTAGCTCTTGAGTTGTCATAAACATTTAAGTATTGGGCGCTTGAGGTTTGATACTTTCCACAAGTGCAGCCAGTCTTTGGCATGGCCCCTTTATGCATCGCGATCTCATGGCAATATGCCTTGATCTGTTGCTCTTTGGATAAGCAGATGAGTCTGCACTTGTGAATGTTTCATTGCACCATGGCCCATGGGTATGATTCTGGGATGATTGTGCTCTGCTGCCAGGCCGGGGAACTGTGTTCAATGCCCGTTCAATGCAGATGCTTTATCAGATATGATCAAATGCAGACAGTGGAGGCTGGATTATCGTCAGAGGAACTTTAAGGCTGCAAAGCACTGGCAGGCTTATCTCAACAATTCAGGCTATACCACAAGCTTGCACATCGTCCCGTAACCCTGAATGCAGCTGCTTTGAAGCCTTCTGACTTTGCACAGCTGCTCGCGTGCAATTGCCAAGCACAGCTGGCAACAGTTTAGTACTACCGTGTCCGACTTCGGAAACGGGCCTGTCCGAGTTCGGAATCCAGTGTCCGAGATCGAAAACGGGTGTCCGAGATTCGGAAATTCGGCCGTTTTCGTGCAGTTTTGGCCGCCAGTTTGCGGGTCAATAACAGGGTCAAAACTTGGTCAATTGTAACCAGATTTTCGGACTGGCAGGCAGCCCCAAGCATGCAGATTCCGGCAATGTTACTTGCACAAAAAGTGGTTGGATTTTGACCCATGTTTTCCCTGACCGCGCTTTAAATAGGTGTCCGAGAATTGGTGCTTTTACACTAAGCTTTTTCTTTTAGCTCGGTTTTTTTATTTACGGTAAAAAACGAGCTCTCATGTTTCCCCCTGAAGTTTGGATTAGCGATAGCTGGGCCTCAAGTGCAAATCACTCAGTGAGCACTCAGTTAAGCAGATTTTATCCATCGAACGCAGTTTTCGAGTCATTCGAGGACTGAAACTGCTCGACTCCATTCTTCGACGTTCGATGGCTTGGAACTGGTTTTTTTGTCCGCCAAATCTCCGCACGTGACCCCTTATACGTGCGGCAAAACCCTGCGATCATGCCTGCGGGCTCGCTTGCGGCCACAGGGACCGGGCACCCGGCCGCGTATGTAACCTTGGGCATAGAAATGCAACCGTCCGATGGTATGTTGTCAACCGGTAGGATTATGTCTTTGCACGCGGGGAATGGGGCTGTGGCTGCCTGCTTATGTTTGTACCGGGCACATTCCTGTCGACTTGAGCACCCCATAAGTCACAGCCGGTAGCAGAATTTATAGGACCTGCAATAACCGATTCCGTAAGCTATACTGGCCGACTCGCTATGTCTCAATCACCGGTTAGATTTTCTTAGCCATTCCGCGTGAACGAAGTGCCCGGTAGTAATGATACGCTGCTAACCCGCTCGCAGGCTCCACGTGTTGAAATAGCCATATAAGAGCCGTCCGATTGAACTTTAGCGCACATTTGGGACTCTTCGATTGCGTGTCAAAAAATTACTCCGCGTTCATAGATTATTCGAATATCTTTGCGTAAATACGCTCTACAGATGTATCCTCCCCAAAACGAAAGATCATCAGCAAGCAAAACCGAGCATTCACACCGCACCGCGGTTTAGCATTTATTTATTTATTCTAGCTCGGTTTTTTTGTTATTTGTTAAGAACAGTCTAAAGGGTAGTGAGTAGAGATCAAATGTGAAAAAAATGCAATTCATCAGCTGGAAATTGCAGACTCGCAGACACCCGAGGGTGAAGCGTGAACTCCCGGGTACAAGTTGCCGGCGAAAAACCCCCTTTCGGGGCCCCGGTTACTGTCTCGGGCGTTTTGCTTGGGGGATCCCATGAACATCCGAACTGTTTGCAGCGGCCCCTGGAGAGCCTGCATCAGATGACTCTGCTGGGCCAGCAGCATCATCTGGCTGGCGCCGCCGTTTAGTTTGTGTGGCATGGACACCATCGAACTTCTGAAAAGAGGGGCTAAGGGCATATGGTGGATCAGAAACTAGCGTAGCCTGAGCGGGAGGGAGTGGCACAGTTGTCTGGACAACGTTAAGACTTTCAGGGCCCTGGGGAACAGTGGTGCTGGAAAGACTGGAAAGCAGAGAAGGGTTGCTATAATTTGGCATGGCTGTTTGGGAGCGAGTGCGAGGGCGTTTGGCAGGCGGACAAGTCATTTCCCGCTCGTGTGAGTGGGGCGTTGATGGAAAGGGCCGTTTTTCTACACGAAGGGCTTGCTGTCCGTTAGACGGTGCCAGGCGATGGTGCAGCGGCCAGCTTGTCCGTTTTCTAGTTGGAATGACAAGATTGTGGAACGGACCGGATTGCCCTGTGGGGGCATCGCGCTGGCCGTGCAGGAAGGTGGTGGTGAGCAGAGGTGCACTTGGCTGTGGTCGAGCAGGCATCGTCCGTTTGCGACGGGCCTGCCAAGTTGGAAGAGGATGACGACGGTGAGCCAGATAACTGCGAAAGCAGCAAAGTCGTCCTCGGTTGCTTCGTGAAGAGGAACGAGATTAGGAAGTAGATTAAGCCGGTCTTTGAAGAGTAAACCCAAGTTGGCTTTGATTGCGTCGCACCGTTCTTTCCAGAAGAGGTGGAACGTTTCGACAAGGATTTTGTGCAAAAGTTTTCCAACTTTGACAGTGCGAGCAGCTGTTGGACATCTGCTGCTAAGCCAGCCGTAAACGTTGGAGGAGATTTGACCAGCAGAGAAGTGCCGCTGATCCAAGGAGTTCCATTGCTGAGGCAGCATCTCAGCACGAAGCATTGCTCGAATTTCGGTACGGCTGGCCTGCACGCTGTTGTGGATGCAAGCATCGAGAAGCTTGGACACGAGGGCCTGTCTGGTAAAGGTGAAGTGAGGGCAATCGAAGAAAAGATGTTCGATACTCTCGTCAGCAGCTGGGCAAAGTCCGCAAGTGGATTCAGGATAGAGCGACTTGCGAGTCTTGTGTAGGCGGTGGAAGGTAGGAAGCGTGCGACCTAAGATTTGAATCAGAAACTTTTTGTGTGGTGCAGATGAAGTCTTAGAAAGCAGGGTGTGGACAGAAACTTCACGCCAGATGCCTGGTGAGAAAAGGTGAGTGTGCCATTGTCCACGACGGTGATACTGGAGATCCTTGGCAGCACATAGCCGCGTGAACAATTTTGCCGGATTATTTCAAAGATGCGAGGTTGGGTTTGCAAAGGGGCTTGCAGGATGGTTACATGGGGCAAGTGACGTCGTTCATCAGGAATTTCGAAGCTGGTGAGGAGCAGACTCCCTTTTGCGAGTCGGTCAGCAACCTCGTTGTGTTCTTGGGCCTGTTCATTGGCGGAGAGAATCTGGCGTGCACCTCAGCCTGTTGTGAGGTGCTGAGGGCTGTCTCGCTGGTGTGCTTTCACATGCACAATCTCGGTGGTGCCGGAACGGAGAGCAATCTCGTCAAGAATTCGAAGGATAAGTGAGCGGTTTGCTAAGTGGCAGAGTTCGTAGGGTCGAGGTTTGCCAGCCGCTCATGCGGAAACGGAGTGCGCTTGTGGAGCTGTGAACAAGCTGTAGCAGCGAAGTCATTGGTCTCAAGGATGGAGGAAGTTGTTGACAAGTGCGCTTCTATGCTCCTCTCGAGCAGCCCTGAGGCGATGACTGCCTCTGCAGACTTTTTTAAAGGCCTGTCCGGGGATCCCAGTGGAAGGTGTTCCGAAGGACTCTGCTTCTCCAGTGTTCTTCAGGAGCTTTTGGCCTACGAGCGTGGCGCGATCTTTGACCACCTTCTGAGGCAAATGCTCGCAGATCCCGGAAATTGTGGTGAGATGAGAATTCAGAAGCTCTACTCATGTAAGATTCTTGCAACCTTCAGTGAGAGCGAGGCGGTCGCAAAGTACTGCGCAAAAGACAAGCAAAGAGCCCGATCTCTTTTGAAGGCGCTGTTGGAAGCGCAAGCCTACCTCCTGCACATCATCCGAGGGCAGTTGCGGGAAGGGAAGCCTAACCAAGAATTTGAGGAGATGGTGAAAAGGGACAAAGGCAAGGGGAGGCATGAGTTTTTGGAATTAGCGCTGGAAAACATCAAAGCCTTCGCAAGCTTTATCAGCGCTTCAAAGCATTTCCGCCTAGCGCTGCAGCAGTCGGACTGCTTCTTCCGGGACCTCGAGAGCCTCGTCGCTCGCAACATCACAAAGCGCGCGAGCGCGCAGCTCCAGCAGAAGGCAGTGAAGAACCTCTGTCGGCTGCTGCACAGTCTGTGCCGCTTTGGGGATACCAAGGACTGGGCCATCAACAGCGGTCTGGTGCGAATCCACGCAGCAGTAACTAGGTTGATGGCGCTAGACGGTGTGACCTCGGAAGCTTACCTTCAGATCTGGAAGGACGTAGGCTTACCTGCCAGCGCCGACCCCGTTCCCACCAGCAGGCAGATGCGCAAGCTTCTCGAGTCGACCGAAAAGACCCTCTTGGATCTCGACAGGCGCATACGAGACGCGACTCGGATCCGCGAGTCGCGAATGAGTTGCGTCAGATTTGGCTGGAGATGGGCGGGGCAAACATAGCTGCCCCGATAGATCCAGCTCTAGTTGGAGAACCTGGTGGCTTGCCGCCCGCCAGTCAAGCTTGGAATCAAGGCGCTCTCCGCTTCGCGAATGGCCTCGTAGGAACTAAAGTGAGCGAGGCGCCGATCGTGTGCTCCTGGGAGAAGTGCGATGAGGGTTCGGAGCTGGACGCAGGCAGACAGTTCAGCAAGTGCGCCAACTGCTCGCTCGCATACTATTGCAGGTGAGAAAATTCTTCTGCTCGAGACTGCCTCAATGTGTAAAGATTTGGGGTAGAAACACGTGAAGGATGATTTCTTCGAGAACTTCGCGCAGCCGTTCCAACCGATTTACATCAGTTGTAGTTTTTATTTCGATTGAATCTTTTGGATCATCTCGTTCGCCTCGGCAGTCGCTTGTAATCTTCTCGTTTATCACATTCTCGCGGATACTTTTGCCGCAGTCGTGACATAAAGTACTATGCGTGTCACGTTGAGCTAGCTTACCAGGATACTTCACCTTCAATCTGGTTTATTTTACTGCCTCACCTTTGTCGATAAGAGAGTCCGCCGACTTGGACAGGTCAGAAGCGCGTTCGCCTCGGCATATGCAATGCAGCCTCTTGGTCTTGAGCACTATCAGATGCCTACAAGGGTTTTGTTTTCGACCTTGGAAGGTTCCTTCAAAAACTTCTTCAAGGGCATACCAACCTTTAACAAGCTGAGCTGTTTTGCTTTCTCCTCTAATTCCAGCAAGGAACACCAGAAACTTCACTGGAGTGTCCACAAGAAGCAGTGCAAGGTCAAGACGTCTGATCCGGCACCCCAATCTGGATAAACAACTGTGATGCCCGGCCGCGGCGGTCTTCAACCAACATACTCGTCAGCTTAGAACGGGTAGATCTGACTTTGCAGAGCTTACTTTCTCAGAGATATATGGCTAAGGACTTATTCTTTACAATCGAGTACAGACGCGGATCGACGGTTGCGCATGACTGCGCTAGCCAGCGTGCTATAGATTAAGTTCTCGACCATCATTTCTTTCATGTACATTCTCGCGAGCTTCACGGAGCTTGAATATATGGAGTGGTAGCGCGGGGCTCATGTAGCCACGCTTGCAGCCTGCCTTGGCCATGGACTGGTCTCTTCTTTATTGCCACGCGGTACGCATTTACTCTCCTGCATGTACGGGCATACCGACTCATACTAGGACAACAGCACTTACTGCCGCGATGTGCATTGCATGGAGTGAAGACAGAACGTTTAAGCAAATTGACGACATCATGAACACACGTCATTTGAATGACTCCAGAGCCAGTTGATTAGAAAAGGTGCCGTGGCCAGTGAATATTTTGCGTGCGGGTTCATCAAAGAATCGTTAAAAACGGGATTGGGCTTTAAAGGTCCTTGCAGGACAGCCCTCTGCGCTTACTATTGTGGATCTACTTTTCTGCCGCAAGTTTTAAGTGCAAGCTCGCCTCATACACAGCGAGCACTCAGGTCCACGTACACTGCTCCACCGACACGCCAGCGTGCCATGCGGTGCACTTACTATAAAATCGAACGGGCACAAACCGTGACCAACTCGTTTAAAGCAACCGGTGGTCTCAACTCGAAGTTCTTCGCTTCGTGCAGAATGCTGACTACTGTTGCAAACTACCGTCCTATGCAAGCGGCACGCAACACCCCCACCCCTTCCTTCCAAAGTCTGCAACCCCCCGCCCCAACCCCCGCCCCCGGGCACCACTTTATAAGCAGACCAGCGCTCTCAACGCTGCCCGGACCACTTTCCCGCGCACCTAGTGCGCGCCCCCGGTGCCCAACATGCGCTCGATCTCCTCGAGGCTCTTGCCCTGCGTCTCGATGATGCAGCGCTGCGAGAAGGCGACTGTGAGAAGCGCGACTCCGGCAAAGCCAGCGTAAACCGCGGGCAGACCCACCTGCAGACGACAAAGACGTCTTTGAGCATCTTCTTCTCGAAGCATAATATAAGAGCGGAGAACTACAGGCGGGGATCGGACTCGAGATCCTGACGTCGAAAAGAGGAATTGATGGCGACTTTTGCAAGGCGCAGAGAGCTCAGAAGGATGGGGAACCAGAGGCGCGGAACAGAGCCAGAGGACGGTCGACGCTATGAACCAAGCAGACACCCTTCAGAGGCGCTAACGTGCAATTGCCTCACTTGGCATAGGAATAGCGGAGTCGACGGATCACGAGATTGCACGTAGCTGTCCCTCTTTTTGAAAGCTCCAGCTAATTTAGGCCGGACTAGTACTTTGGATCCAGCATGTACGTTATAAACAAGAGTGTTGGAAAAACCACCGGCACACGCGGAGGGTGGCACAATCGACATTTGATCCTGGTTCCGCTGCAAATCAAAAACCGAGAGACGAGAATCATAGGCACTGAAAAATGAGATCGGGACAGTTGTCAGTACAAGCGGTTTGGCTTTGCAGTCTCGCTATGAGATTGACACGTGGGCGGCTTACCAGGCGGACAACTTCAAGGAAGTAGAGGCCGATGCCGAAGTTGAACACCTGCAACGCAACATCAAACACACTGCGTCAGGCAAATTCCTACCAATTGGCGCAGATGAGGACAATACGTCGACTTCGTTAAAGTTCGCAATCGAAAGCAATCAGCAAGTCCCAAATGACCGCGGCCCTTCTGGTAAAGAGGCCTGTAAACTCGACACAAGATAGAATCTGCAAATATCTTTGGCATAGGGCGGTCAGAAGCAGCTTTCGCCAACCCTTCGGACTGTTAGACCATTCAAATAGACGGAACGAACAGCAATAGAAGCGGACGCCTTCTTGCAGTCGCGTGAGACCTGACATGCAGCGCTGCGCTTTCTGCCCGTCTTGTGTCCAAAGAAGTATCGTCTGGGTCCGGACTTGTGAAATGAGGTCGCTATTGTTATCAAGAGGGTGCGTCCGACGACCGGGTCAAGTGCAACTACAACAAGCAACAACAAGAGATGTACGAAACGATGAAAAGAATGCAGAAACCAAAGAAGTAGGGTCCCCGCTGGAGGTTTCTGATCCAAACCGTTGAGATAATAGTTCGTAGCTCCGTTTCTTGGTTTCGTTTGTTGGATTGTCAGTGCTCACCCAGTGGCAGGCCATGCATGCGGCGAGCGCGCGCGAGCGGATGCGCTGCGGGAACATCTCGGGGAGGAGCAGCGCGGGTACGGGGCCCGCGCCGAGGCAGAACGCGAGCACGTAGCCCAGCGTGGCGGCCACGCTCAGGGGCCCCGCCCAGGGGCGCAGCACGGGGAGCGTCATCGCGGCCGCGCTAAGAAGCAGGCACGCGGCCATGCCCGTGTAGCTCAGGCGGAGCGCCTTGCGGCGGCCCCAGCGGTCCATCAGAAACAACGCGAGCACGGCGCCTGGAGGAATCGGGATGCAGAGTCAGAGTCTGGGATTGAGGGTTATTGGTGAAGGGTCAAGGCTGAAGAAACCAATCTTTTGATTCGACTAAGACATGTGCAGCGCTTTGCAGCGGTCCATCTAGAATAAGCGAGCACGGCGCCTGGAGCGTGGGGATTTGTCGGTTAACGATGTGGGATTACAAGGAAGTGTTCGTAGTTGAAACAGTGCAAAGTCGTGGTTTCGGACGGTGGTAGCCGGTGGCCCCACCTGTTCATCAAAAATAGCGCCAGCTCGGCGCCTGGGCTCGGAGGAAAAGGGGTTTGGCTTTCAGGGTTTGGGTAAGGTTAAGAAAACGTGGTTCACGGGAATGTTTAGCCCCCGAATGTTCGGACCTTTCATTGCTTAGCGGGACAGATGACGACCGCAACCATCGAGGGATGGACCTGCCCTATCGACGGGACACGTGTCCTGATGTGCTTGAACATTAAAAGGTCGCTTAACATACTGCGGGCGTGCCCGGCAATGAATAGCGGGTACTGAAAGCAGACTGGAAAGGCGGTGCTCACCTGCCAGGTTGACCACCCCGAGGCCGACGTTAGCCAGAAACTGCGACTGCACGCCGGCGTTGCGGAACACGGTTGACGAAAAGTCTGCAGAGAAACACGAGGCCAGGGGGGCGGTTAGCAAAGGTAAGTTCCAGTGAAAAAGCAACACTCGCTGAGCAAACTTCCTTCGCGGCCGGTCAGGAAAGGAACTTTGATTTTGAATTCTGACAAGCGTTTACAAGGGCCCCTTCGTTAAAGTAGGAGCAAGCAAGAACAAAAATGGAGCAGGGAGAGACAAAGAGCTGCCTCGTCGGGACGCATAGTCACAAAGCCGACAATGAGAAGCGGAAATAGAAGTTCGAAACCGCAAAGGACTTCATGATGGTATGCAGAAGACGCTTTCAAAGTCTCAGGACCCTGGGCCAACTAGAATGGAATCTTTTACTTGGCATAGGCAGAGAGTTCCGAAGACCGGGCAAGAGAAGCTGCAATCCAAATAGGGAGTGCGACTCACAGAAGATGGCGTTGATACCGGACAACTGTTGGAGGGCGAACATGGCACAGCCAATGGCCACCACTGCACAGAAAACAGACACGTGGCATCAGCGAGGCAGCGCAAGGCGAGTCGCATTCAGTCCAAAGCCCTCTGCCGTAGCGCGGGATCCTCGTTTGTTGTCCTTTCTGCTTGGTTCAAGTGCTGAGGCGATCACTGAGCTTTGTGCCCCAAGGGCCGATTGATTTCACTTGTTGATGCGGCAATCGGTTCAGACTGTTCATCATCTGGTCCGGTTGAATCGCAGTGTCGAGAAAGGCATCTGGCACCGGATACGAGCTCTGCAAACCACGCGCCTCTCTTCCATGCTCATCATCTGCTCAGCCAAGGCCTATTTGCTTCCTATCAATTTCCAAAAGGCACTTCCGCGTCACCCAATATTCCAACAAGCCGCCTTCCACACAGAACCACGCGGCCAACGCACCTTTCGCATATCGTGGCGACGCCAGGTCTCGCCACGTGGCCTCCTTCCCTCCCGCCGCCTCCTGAGCGGTCGCTTTCAGCCCCGCCATCGCGTCGCTCACCGCCGCCGGACCCCAAAGAACGCCCAAAGTGCGCTCCGCTTCCGCTATTCTTCCGCGTTGGTACAGCCACCGCGGAGACTCCGCTGCACGTGCCATTCCGGCTGCGAGCGCGGCGGCCGGAACGCAGGCGGACCAGAACATGGTGCGCCACCAGGAGGGGTTCGAGCGGAGCGGCAGGGAGAGGAGGAGTGCAACGAGGATGCCGGCGCAGCCGGTGAGCTGGTTGAGGGAGCCCATGGTGCCGCGGTAAGCGGAGGGAGAGATCTGCATACGTGATCCGCACTTATATTCAGCAGAAGTAATAACGCAAGAGCACGCGTAAAATTCACAGCCGCACTAATAATCAGTGAGTCGATAGGACGCGAGAATAAGCGCAGCCCGTCAGCTGGTCGAGGGAGACCATCATACTGTGGTAGGCGGCAGGGGAGATCTGTGGTAGCCGGTAGCTGGTTCCAGTACAGGAAGTAAGAGAAAGATGGCGAGCAACATTGAGCTCAAAAAGGCGGCGTCGGTCGGCTGCTTAAGGGGGCCAAAGAACTTGCGGTCGCCGGTGGGGTCAGCACAGGTGGCGCGGAAGCCCGCACTCAACCATGGTCCACCGGCATGTTGAGCAGCAACTGAGAACGTTAGCGCTCAACAAACATTCTTGACACCAAGACATCGCAAGCCGTCAGAGAGCGTCAAAGGCTAATTTTTCTTTTTAAAGACAAGAATGGAACGGTTGCCAGTTTCAGGTTCATTGGGGAGGTTTGCGAGATGGATTTCCCATGTTTGGATCCAGCGGCTGCAGATCGCAGGTGCACGCAACTTCGAAATCTTGCTGATTGTCGAGGGAGGTGCGTGTATTACCTCGGAGATATAGAGGGGCAGTACAGCAGTAGCAATCCCGAGGCCTAGCCCCACCATAAAGCGTCCCGCAATCATGGGCCCGACGGACTGAGCGGCAGCACTGCAATCATGAAAGCCAGGCCGATTAGCTGCGAGACATGTCAGCTGCCAGCGAGCATACAAGCTAAGCTCAGCATCTGAAATCAACAAAAGCACGGTGGACAATTGAAGTTTTTAGGCTGCAAGGCCGTACCCGATATGAGGAGCATTTGTAGAGCGTGTCAATGGATAGTGTGACGCCATCTTCTCTCAGTATCGTAGGTAATAGAGGTAAGGGCGAGAAGCGAGAGCAGGGAGGTAAGGGCTCGTAAGGGGTTTTGTTGACGGTAAGGGGCGCACCTAATGCTTTTCTGTTTTCTGAATCTATGAGCAGACCGAGTATCGAGATTGCTGTGCGCATGCCTGCAGTTGAGTGAATGTGCTAGGAAATATGTCGTGCTACTCAATGAAGGCATCGACTTTTTCAACAAGAGCGGCAGATGAGCCACCCTGGCTTCAAAGAATTTGGGGGGAATAGGGGGGCCGCACCTAGTTGCGGCGCCCACGAGAAGCGGCACCGCGTTGAGCTGGAAGGTGCGCCGGCGGCCAAACGCATCCGCCATAGAGCCCCCGCCTATACTGCCCAGGAACGCGCCTGCGAGAGTGGCGCTCACAACGGCCCCTGCAGCAACCAGACGGAGTGAGAGAGCGATCACGGTTGCGCTGCATATACCAAATGTTGCAAAAACAAGCAAGGATATTTAGAACCTGGGCTTTCTGCCACTGGTTATTGGAAGGCACGTGACACGTTATTGGAAACGGATATTTGACAAAGGGGCACATCGGGTTGGGGTGCAACAGTCTTGCGCTGGGGCGGGGCTAGCATCAGATGCAGAAAGTCTGTTGAATTCGAAAGAAAACGGTGTGGGCAGGACAGGGGGAGAGGACAGCCTGGAGGCTTGATGAGACTGACCTTTGAGGACGTTGCTACCAGCAAAACCAAGATCGCGCGCAATGTACTCTAGGGGGCCGTTGACAACTCTGCAAGGCAAGATTAAAAAGTTCGTTGTTGTCAGTGTACTAGGAAAAGCAAGGGTACACCGAGCCAGAATTATGAGAGTAAACACAACAGCAGCCTATTTGAGGACCAGCTTTTTACAAGTCTCTCATTGGAATGCACAGGAGCTTTTGAGGAATCTGATTTTGTATTAGTTGCAGCTGAGCAGGGCTCCCAAGCTTGATTTACAACCCAAGGTAGTCTAAATGTAGTTGTTGTGCTTACAGGCTGCTAGACGGGCAACAGAAGAAGCGATAGCGCGCAGTGTGTCGGAATGCTGAGGCGATGCACAGAGCAAGGTGCAGAGTTGATCAGACAACGAGCGAGGACTGCTGCTACAGGGATTCCTTACCCCACATGGAACCCAAACAAGAAAGAAGCGAGGCAGGCAGTGAGGACGTTGACAAGGACGGGCCGCCACGGGATGGCCGCTTTGCGTGCCGGTTCGGTATCTGCATCCGCAATGTACACTGCACACCACAGTGGGGCTGCCGTCAGTCAGTTTATCACAAGGGATCCCTACACCACATCATTATCCAGCCTTCTAAACCCCCCGGTGCCCTGTTTCTCAGTGGAAACTTATGTGCAAGCCCACCAGGAAAACTTCCATACTCGCGCATGCAGGCGAAGGGGAAACGGACCAGAGCCCCCAAATCGTGACGTCGGAAGGCGCAAACCCCAAGATCAAGGCAGGTGACTCCGAGCAGAATCACAGAGGGGCACATGGGGAGGCAATTGGGTGGGGCCCTCACGTGCTTCCATACGCGAGAGGTCTTCATCGGGAAGGAGGCCCCTCTCCAGCGACGGCCGCCGGTAGAAGCTGCCCCCCGCCACCATCCCACTGCCAGTGCGCATTATCACACGCTCGTGACCGGTAGCCATTGCAAATTGTCGCAATCTTGGCGGCTCACGCCCTTCGCACACCACCCGGCACTGTTTACTCCTATTCTGCCGCCTGCTGTGAGTACTTTGAGAAGACCCTGGGTCGAGGCTCAAGCCGGCCGCGTCTCGCCGGCCCCAGATCTGATGGACATGCCGGGTCGGGTAACTGGGGCTACACACGCCACTGCTGCGCCGTGCGGCCTCGGAACCGGGCTCCGCAAAGAGGGCGTTCACACTGCGGACCGGTTGCGCAGCGAGGGTGCCGCCTGGCATCTAGGGAGGAAGCGCCTCCTTCCGCAGCCTCCAGAAACAGACTCACTAACTTGATCTGTTGATCAGATTACCTGCAGGTTAAGGGCTTTTGGTTCAAATCGTCCCACCTGATCAAATCTTATGTACACTGACTAACCCTGACAAATATGAAACTTCATGTCCACTAATCAACCCTGAAACAATGGTTCTAACTTGTAAGGTGATGTATACCAGGTACTTGGCCAGGGGCGAGGGCGATACGCTCTGCAATTGCGCGTGGGAGGAGGTGGTATGGCAGCTTCCCCACATATTCATCACTTCCATGTTGTTGGAGCTTCGGAATTGAAGTTTGGAGCATAATTCATGTATGTGGAAGAACATGGCATGGCAGCTTCCAACAGCACTGTCACTTGTTGTCTTCTTAGTCTCAACAGTCAAGTTTGAAGCATGATCAGACCACCTTGATTGTGGAAGTCAACATGCACTAAGTAACCAGCATAGATCTGATCTTGTGGCACTGACGATCACAAGAGCTGCTGTAGAGTGCAGCCACTCTGCTGCTGTGCCCCCTAGGGTTGCACGAGCCAGATCTCCCACAATAAAGATCGCAGAACATCAGCTGTCTTAGGGACTGGATAAGGAAACCACCCTCCAATCAAGAACATGTGCTCATGAAGGAATAAGAATCGCAGCAAGAGGAGTTCCGGATTGCCAGCTCCTTCAGATCCTCTGCCCCTGTGCGGATATACTATCCATCTTAGGTCGAACTATTGAGGGGAAATGTGCAACCCTAAAGACTTCCCTGAGACTATAAATCGATAGAGAGCACTACTTGACATGTCAATCACATCAGTAACCAGTGAGTTACAAGCGGATGATCGTGAGCTGCCCAGCTTATGTATCAAACGAGTGTAACGTCCGATATCACGAGGCCACAATCATGACGGGAAAAGGCTCACCTTGATCTCAACCGGACCGTGGGCTCCCAGATGCCCCGAATGTTAGTTCGCAGCTTTTACAATGCATATCGAGCTGGCATCGGAGCAGAGAATCCAGGAATGGTGGGAGATCTAGCAAGGCAACTGTAGGTTCTGGTGACGACGTACAACGCTGTCTTGCAGAAGGCTTATTCTGGCCAAACTTCAAGATCAACCAGTGGCACTGGCCAAGGTTCGTGTTGATCTGCCAAGCGATCCTGGAGGCACAATGTGGGAAAGGCTACCTTCGAAATGGCAGGACGCCAAGGCGATCAAGCTCGATCCTGCAAGAGTGCAAGGTGGAGCTTCTTCTTTGCCAGAAAAGGAGCTGCCACTGCCAGCTGTCAATCTCACCTGCTGCCAATTGGCAGAAGGCTGCGTTCCGGCGAACAAGGACTTGGTGTCGGAGTTCTCTTTGACGAGAGTTCCGCCAGCCAGACTGTTCCGCCGGATCCGCCGCCCCAGCAGAAGTCTTTGTTCTCACTGCCGTACTCGGGCGCCGTTCGATGCAAAAGCTGACCCAAGGGCAAATCAGCGCTGGTTACAATGTACGATAACAGTACGTATCGAAAACCTCCGTCTTAGGAACAAGGAGATGAACGAATAAAGCTCCTGCCGCGCCTCCTTCCTCTTCCTCTTGGGTTGGGCATCAAGGCAGCGCCATGAAGGTGAGCAGCTGCGCCCCGCAATGGCCCCCCTTCTGGAGGAGTCTGCTAGTGTCCGGGATGGTGGTTGCGCTTCCCTGAGGTTCTGTGCATCATTACAAGATCCGCACGGTGTTTGTTTGGGCGCCTGAACCTCAACAAATTTGAAAAGGGCGATCGTTGCAGCCTAGGGGAAAGAAAGGCAGTGGCAAGCAGTTTTTCTCCGTTACAGATGGATAAGATAAGGCTACGATACACAACTAGAGCTGCAATCTGCCATCTTGCAGCCCTTGCTGATCGAGAGGACAAGTAATAAGAATCACGGTCTTCCGAGGACTGGACGTCAGGGGACTCAGCTTGTCCAGAGTCAGTACTGAAGACAGCAAGTTTGTAGGGTGTGTCGACCAGGTTTTGCTTGAAGTTGCTGGTGCATTAGATGGTAACCTGTTCGTATAGGGCAGATTTTTCCTCGATTCACATGTTCAGTCTCTGCGTTATGTGTGGAAGATCGTAACCTGTATGTCTTGTGTGCAGCTCAACATTGCCAACCCCACGACGGGGTGCCAGAAGAAGGTCGAAATCGATGACGACCAGAAGCTGTGAGTACACTGACACCATTACCGCTCTGATTGCTTATCCTTAGGCCCCAGCATGTTACGCCAGCCAATTGTCAACAGAGAGTGTCCCAGCAAACTGCAGAAAAATCAGACAAGTTTTCGACGCCTTATTTGGTTTGCAAGTGTCTTCAGCGGGCTGTTCATTGGTCGAAGCAAAGCGACCGAGAGGCCTTTTGTTTCCCGCACTTGTGAGCAGTGGTCTCTTTGTGAGTCGATCAGTTATTTATTGGCGCTATCGTGTTTGCAGGAGGGTCTTCTATGACAAGAGGCTCGCTCAGGAGGTCCCGGGTGACAGCCTTGGAGATGTACGTATCACAGCTGTGCCTAGTTGTCGACAATTGTGCAGCCTGGTAATGGTATCTGTTTTTGTGCCCTCTGAGCTCTGTTAAGAGCGCCAGCAAAGTGTATGCCAAAGCAGTGGCCAAACTTGCGGGTCATTGATAGTAATTTGAAAATTGCTTGTGGATTTGCAGGAGTTCAAGGGGTACATCTTCAAGATCAAGGGCGGGCAGGACAAGCAGGGCTTCCCCATGAAGCAGGGTGTCCTTGTGCCTGGACGCGTCCAGATTCTGATGCACAGAGGTCAGTTGTTTGTGTTTGCTGAGCTTTTTGTACTTTATTGATTTGCTCCGCAGATGGTAGGTGGGGGTGTCATTGCAGTTGCCATGAAGATGGTGTGTCTAGGGGGTTTGCGCGAGCAGGCTAGCAAGCCGGTCCTATCCGGGTCATTTCTTGCTATCAGTTCTCAACTGCCCGGCTTGATGGTGTCAATTTGACGATTGTCATACCCTCACTGCTTGGCTGCCGAGGAGAATGTAACTCAGGGCTCGCTGAACGTAACGGCTCCGCAATGGTTCTTCCTAACGACTTGTCTCGGTAGCGGGCTACCCGATGAAGCAGCAGTTGTACGCTCAAGCTGGTGATTATTTGTTAAAACTTCAGCTGCCATGTTTGGTCCTGTCCAGGCGTGCCCTGCTTCCGTGGACATGGACGCCGCAATGGGGAGAGGCGCCGAAAGTCCGTCCGTGGTTGCGTGGTCAGCCAGGACCTGTCCGTCCTGAACCTGGTCATCGTCAAGCAGGGTGAGGGGCAGAGACGTCTTTCTTTTTGCATTGATGTCGATTTAGATAAGAAAGGCAAGCTCAGATTGTACGCTTAAGCTAAGGCAACCAATGTTGATGGTAGATCAAACCGCCTGATTGCCAGCTTGCATCATACTGGGGCTCTTTTGCGGTGAGTTCAGTAGGGAGAGAGTAGGCAAACTTTGAAGCCAGGCTTGGTCTAAAGGCAGATGGCAGAATTTGCAGAATCTGAATGAGGCACTATGCGTTTCCCTTTTTGCGTTTGAAAGGACAGCATGATATCCGTCGGCCATGGTAGGCTGGGAAGCCTTGCTGTAGCTACTTTGGGGGGATGTGGGAGTGGTGGGTCAAAGGGCGGAGAGGTTCTCAAAGTATTCGGCATGGCCCGGCTGCATGCCGACAATGACTCTGCGTTCGGGGGAAGCGCGAGCCTAACGAGATCAGGCTGTGCAAAAGGCCTGGTCGTGATATTCTTTTGGAAGATCCACAATTCATGCGATCACCTAGATTGAACTCTTTCAGAGGTACTGCAAGGGAAGCCTGCACCCTAGTGCGGTGAACACAGTAGGTTGTGAATCAGTCCCCAAGACAACTTGATGGTTTTTGACTGGTTGCTGCTCGCACCATCAGGTGAGAACGACCTCCCCGGGCTGACTGACACGGAGAAGCCCCGGATGCGCGGACCCAAGAGGGCCTCCAAGATCCGCAAGCTGTTCAACCTGTCCAAGGAGGATGATGTCAGGAAGTACGTCAACACCTACCGCCGCACGTTTGAGTCGAAGACAGGTCAGCAGTCCCTGCCTTTTACTCCCTCAGCAGTCCCTGCCTTTACTCCCTCAGCTCAACAATGTTGCATGAGTTCTTGGCATGACCTTCAAAGCGCACGTTGCCTTGGTTTCGTTCCTATTGACCTCCTGTGTTGAATGGTCGATGAGATGCTGTGCATCCAAAGCATGTGGTCATCTGTATAGTCCAGCACTTATTATCTCCGACCATCTCTTTTCTGCTGCGTCTCGGTTTGCTTCCTTTAGTCTTGCACGAAGGTTCTTCATGGGTTTGTGTGTTCGTTCTTTGGATGCGTGTCCGTGCGAACCAATCTTTCCAGGAAGGCTGCGCAGGGTTGGTTTGTTCTCCAGATACCTGTCCGTGTTATCAGACAAGTAGGTGGGGAGTTCGGCTAGACTCCCAGTAAAGCACAAAGATGTGCTGACATAGAAGCCCAAGCACTCACAGCAGTATTGGCCCTTCCGCTGCAGGGAAGAAGCGGAGCAAGGCCCCCAAGATTCAGAGGCTGGTCACCCCGCTGACTCTGCAGAGGAAGCGCCGGCGCATCGCCCTCAAGAAGCAGAGGATCGCCAAGTCCAAGAACGACGCAGCGGAGTACCAGAAGCTGTTGGCACTGCGGCTCAAGGAGCAGAGGGAGAGGCGCAGCGAGAGTCTGGCCAAGAAGCGCCAGTCCAGGCTGTCGACGGCTTCGGGCGGCAAGTAAATGGACCATGTGTGTCGAAGGGAATTGACTCGAGCTGTTCTGAAGGCAGCGGGCCATCATCGAATCCTGTTCGTTGCTCCACCTCACTGTGTGACGTCTCCTGAACCGAGCATGCACTTGACTTCCTACTCATGTGGCTTCCTTCCGGGTATTTCGTGATTATGTCGTGTTATGGGTAGGCTTGAGACACATCTGCGTCCAACACACACCAGCCAGTATACAAGGCTGTTTTACTGACTTGCAACGTTTCTATGCATGGAGTGCTTTTGTCAATGATAAGACCGAATATGCTGTTTGTGCTAGTGGTGCACCCCTTTGTTATACTACTGTAGGTCATCGAACTTCACAAAAGTTTCAGGCATGTGCGATCGCTCCTTGTCCGGCATGGGTCCATGATGGTCACTTTTCATACTCGCCGTAGTCAATAGACCATAGGCTTCTCATGGCATACGTGTATACGAGTGAAAGTCCCCTGTGCCTTGGTGCTATCTCATGTCTAAGTACTTCGACAACGCTTCTACCATGGCTGTTGTCAAATACGCTGTACCAACTACCTCTGACCCCATGATCGACTACCAAAGTAACATATTACGTCAAATTCAAACATCTAGATGACCATGTAGATGAATCCTTGGCCGAAGCTGATGGCTTGACACTTTGGTAAACGGCAGGCCAAGATCGGAAGACAGCGAGATGGTGGAGGGTTTACTAGTCGTGACAGGTCCAAGTTACCGCTGTGTAAGTCTAGGCCTGTGCTCTTGCACACTTTGCAGGTGTGCGCCAGATTCCATGAATGGCTACCTAGTGGCAATCGGGATATCAGATACATCATTTGTTGAGCCCCTCTGTTCAATTGAAAAGACGTTAAGTAAGTCCTGCTAAAAGCTTCATTAATGCGGTGCTTAATGAAGCTTTTAGTTCGTATATAATGATGATAAGTGCAGTCACGCTCATCTCCGCACTGCTAGGACGGCAAAAACGTACGAGGTTCTGTACCACATGCCCGCAGCTTGGAGGAACTTTGGAACATAAATGGCAGGGAACGTACGCGGTATCCAAACAGACCTGTTGAGGCTTGCACTTGAACAGAACTCTTTCAATGTGCAACTTTATGTGCAGCAGAAGTTGAAACAACCAAGACTTCAAAAGAAGCAAACTGCAACCTCTTTCATACCATGGGTAACTGCCTTGTACCAAATGCTATCTTGACTCCTTATGATTGTTGGGTTGCATGGATATGGTGTGTACAGGTGCTTAGTGCTGATATCAACACGGGTGACCTAAGTGAAATGCCTCAAAGCTTTGAAGTACTTGCCTGAAGCAACATTTCCATACGACAGAGGTCGCCTCATTGGCTCTCTTCGTCACCAACTCCTTCAATCCGAGGCTTACCCATGCTGAAATTCAAAACCCGGCATTCCAGATTGTACTTGATTTCCCCAGCCACCAGCATCTTTCTGATGAAGTGTTCAATTTCCGACCCAATCAACCTCAAAGTGTACTCATCCATAGGCGCACCCTGCAAGGGCAAGCTTCCAGAGTGTCAAAGTTTTGTTGGGAGGCTGACCAATTGACCCTGATGGATGAGGGGGGTGAATCAATCTTTTCCGGAATTTGGTGGCAGCAAAAGCGGGGCTGATGCCTAGCATTAGGACCGTGCACCATGCAGCTCCTTATGCCTGAGCCACTGCTCCTTTCAAGCAAAAATTTAGAACCGTGATGAAAGCTTAAAGGTTGAAATTCTGCGATCGTTCATCCACTACAGTTCTTTCTTCCATCAGAATTGAGTGCGAAGGGAAGTGCGCCATTATCACCTACCACAGACGAAGCGGGACACTACCTAAAAGTCCACTTTAGCATCATCTGAGGCACATTTTGCAATGACCTTGGCATGCAATGCTAGCAGCTGCTGCGCCCAGGCTTGCCCATACGGCAGCACTCAGTGAATGGTACGCATGTGCTTGCGAGCATCTTGAATGGTGGAAGGAAGAAAAGACCTTTCCAACCCTAACCACTTACCTTATAGTTCTCCACCTGTTCGTCAAAAAAGTCAAACACTTTCTGCTGCTGCTCCTCTGGCCAGAGGAACTCGTTGTCCGGATCCAGGTCAATAGTAACCAAGTCCGACTGCTGCTGGTCCATTTCATGCGTCTCGGGATCAACGTAACCAATGTAAATGCGCACATGCCGCGTGGTTGAACTCAACCAGCGGCCCCCGGCCATTGGTCCCTCCCTTGCCAACCCCCTGCCCTCTCCCTTCTTGATCTCAATCTTTTCAATATCCACTTGAGCCGCCCGAGCGAATCCCTTGTGTCTGTGTGCAGATTTCCTAGGCTGTTTTGGCTGGGCCGGTTGCGTCCTGAAGAGACCAAAGCGGCTGCATGAGATAGGAGCTGTAAAAATCGCGCCTACATCTGCGCTTCTGAGGCTGCTCTGGGTGGAAGAGAAGCTGAGGCAGCCAGCCCTGGAGGACAGGACCGCCGTGGTCGCCATACTTGAAAGAGGCAAATGCAACCTTTTTTGCGGCGACTTATTCCACTTTGGAAAAGAGAGCGGACCTGGATACTGCCCCCTGCTGCTGGATGACTCTTCAAATGCAGAACCCACAGGAAAATTCAGCAGCTAGAAAGAGAGCGCCTTGGCAATGGAAAGCGAAAAGTGCCTCACATGCACCGTCACAGCTCTGGAGGTTACCCTTGTTTTGGTAATACGCTGACTGCATCTCTAAACCGTTCGATCGCAATGTTCTCGATATCTGGACGGGTCAAGCCGCGCAAACTTCCAGCACGCGAGCAAATCGAGATTGTACAACGGTTGAGTTTTGGAGGTCCCCCAATGCCTGAGACGCTGGGTGCTACCTACTGTACCATACTCTACCCTGGCAGTAACAGGTCGGAGGCACATCGACTGTCCTGTAAAACAAATACAAGCTAGACTGCGCATGGAACTACAGTACTTGTCGGTGACGGCACCACATGGCTCAGTGCAAACTTGTGCTCAGGATGATGTAGGGTACTGAATCTGTCTTCTCGAGAATATATCGTACGTGACTGCAATATTGCATGGAAGCGGTGAGACTCAGGCGCTATCGTCCTTCGAGTCTTGCTGGTGCCACGCAAGCGTCCGCTGTTTCTCAGGCTGAGGAAAGGTCCTCAGAATCTCAGAAAATCTTGAGGTCAGGGTGTTCCGTCTGTGAGAAATTACTTGATCGAGGTGCCCGTGACCGAACGTATAATCTCCCTGGAGGAATATTTAAAAGGAGGTAAGGTTCTGCCTTACAGCATTGCTCATCTAACTCTATCTGATAACTTTACAAGAATTGCGGGAAGCATTTGAGAAGCAACGATACCAGGGACGTGGCAGTATGGCGGACCTGGGGACGCAGCGCTTCTCTCGGACCAGGAGGTTCGATGAGGAGGATCGAAAGACCCGCATCTTTGACACCAAGGCACGCATCATGGGGGTAAGGCCCTGCTAGCGAATTGCGCACAAATGCTGTCAGGAAAGTCTGCAAAGTCGCATGCATCTGGATTGGTTGGCGACGCCGGCCGTGCCGCATGGTCAGCGTTTGCGCAAGTATGCTGTTCAAAATGCTGAGAGGTTTGGCGTCAATTCTGGGCAACACTCTGGTCGAGGACGCTTACCAGATCCACAAAGTCCATTTAAAGAGACGGCCGACATTGGCAAGCTGGCTTACTACGGGGCTTCTGCAGCGTATCTCCCATCATCTTCAATCTCCCCTCTTCATTGAAGCTGGCAACAATGCTGCCTCGGTTGAAACCAAGGCAAAAGCTGTCTAAACTGCTTTTGCTCACGCTTTCAATGAGCGGCCAGATTGAGCCGTGAAAAATACTTTCTACAGTTGAACCAGCCGTCAATTTTTGTAAGGATGTCAGCATGCGTATGGCACGTCGATTCCCACACAAAGCGCCACCCAGGGCGCATTTTGATTTTCCACAGATGCCAAATTAAGAACAGAGAGCTCTGAAAAGAGTTCGATAGGAGCCCACTCCAGCTGGTTGCTTCGAGGTTTAACAGCAAAGTGTCAGCCAAAAAACGTTCGCGGCTGACGTCTCAAGGACAGCTTTCAAAAGCACTTCCATGGAGCAACAGAAACGAATCGACACTTCCATAAGGATGAGTATTTTCCAAACGACGCACTGTTGGAAAAATCGGTTCGGCGATACAGGTGGACACGGCCGCGCTGGACGCCCAAGTGGACGAGAAGCGGCGGCTGCGGGAGGCAGAAGCAAGGATGAACCAGAACGCCGCGGAGGTGGCCAACATCTTCGACAAGACGCTGCAGCTCAGGGAACAGGACAGGCTGTGAGTTGCCAATTCAAATCACGAACTTGTCCGCTTTCAAGATACTCTTTTATAACTAGCTTTTTCGTCTAGCTCAATCCTTGGGCAGCATAAATATTGGGGCCACACCGCACACTTGGAATGTTGAAAGCTCGATGCAAGCAAAGCAGGCAGTCAGGATTCGTTGGTGCGGAAGCTCTGCGCAGCGTAACGTCCTCACTGATGCCTGTGGTCAACGAGTTCCCGAAACGACGAACTATATGCGTCATGGAAACATCTTCTTAAGACCCAAGCCGTCTTTCAGCGTCCTGACGCACAATTCCTTCACGTTTTGTCAGGATGGCCAAGCGCGAGGTGAACCGCGAGGTGGAGTCGTTCCGTCTGTCCAACCAGGAGAAGTGTGGGCGCCGCGATTACGACCTGGACGACCCCCTGCTGCGGAAAAAGTCGCTTCCCGCCCGGCTCGACGACACTGACGAGAATAACCCGGTGTCGGGGATCCAGAAGCTGGCGGGAGAGGACCTGCAGGTAAAACCCAGTTCGAGCAAAAGCCCAGGGCGACGATCTCCAGTCGATAGGATGTCATCATTAAACCGGAATCTGTTTCGTTCTCTGTACGCAGGGAATTGCGAGTCTCTCGACTGGGTGGTGCAGGAGAGGATGCCTTACGGCCAGCTTACGACGTTGCTCTTGATTCGAGACACTTGCACAATGGAAGTTTCGTATTCAATGAAGGGTCCTGAGAAATTGACGACGGCCGGTGAAATCAAAGAGCAGGACGGCGTCGATTTTCGTCCTGGTGCAATGCTCCTTACTGCTGTGAGTTTGGAACGAAGCGTGGAAACTCCGACAGAAGACTTCCAGCTTTTTGCGAGGCCAGCTTTTTTTGGTATTTTCCCCCCGCGCTCTTGTACCTTACGGTTATTGCGAAGATATAGCCCCAACCCCGAGTGCCTCCCGTTTTGAACTGTTCTTCACTGTCCCTCTTCAGGCTGGGTGGCGCAAGAAGCTGCAGATGGAGCAGCAGGCGCTGTGGGCGGCGGGGCAGGAGGCCCAGAAGCGCGCTGCGCGCGAGCGCGCGCTCGCGGAGGAGCAGCAAATGGCAGAGATCATGCTGGCACAGGTGGGCTCTCGTCCAGCTGATCTTCCGAAAGCAATTGGCTCGGACTGAGATAGAAGCGGAGATTAAGTAGTGGTTCCGTAAGAGGGTTTCTGGTGAAGAGTTCCTGGGACGCGTCCACATCCTGAGAAGCGTCTTAATTCTGGGATGTCCTTCATCTCCCTGAAAATTAGCCTCAGTGGACGGGTCCATCTTCTCATCAAGCCCTGACCACGACTCGGTTAGAGGGAAGGAGATTTTGACGCTCTCGTCTTCACTTTCCCAGTTACATCAGCCAGGTCCTGAACCCGTTGGCTAAGCGTATTACCGAAGAAGCCCTCGCAACTTTTTGCGTCCACCAATGCTATTATGTTTTCATCCAGCTGTCCTGTTTCGAATTGTCCTCGTAAAGCCCTCTCCCTTCTCGCTCGACCATCTCGCGTGACGTCCAGGGACTCGACCAGCTGTCTGCTTACTATTCATTCCCCCCCTGACATCAAGCTTCAGGCTGTCGAGCTGTTCAGCTTACGTGATCCGTTGTGTGCTTCTCTCGGGACAAGCTCGAACAGCAGTTCACGTCCGATGACTAGACCATTTTACCCAGCAATTAGTTCTTCGTCCCCAAGCCTCAGGCTTTGCCGGCACAGAAGTCGAATCTGAACCCATCTGATCGTATATCAAACTGGACGAGCCACTTAGCAATTCTGCGTCCAAAATTCCGCGGAATGCTTTTCTAAAAGCTCCGTTCTGTCTACTTTCATGTTACGATACCTTTGCGAACGAGCTCCCGTGTTGAGGTATTTACTTGTCGTCTCCCAGGACGAGCTTCGGCAGCAGTTCGCATCCGAGGAGTCTGCTATCAAGGCGCAGCTGAAGCGCGAGACGGCGGACGAGAACCGGCGGCTCGCGGAGGAAAAGAAGATGCGCGAGCGTGCGGCGCGCGAGGCGGAGGCGCGCGCGAACGAGGCGGAGCAGGAGGCACTCGCGAGCAACCCAATTATCAACGAGCACCCGGACATGCAGGCAAGAGGCGGTGTTGTTACTTTTTAAAATGCAAATATTCGAAACAAAATGCTTTGGTAGTCTCATCGGCAAGGCAGCAGAATATGTGGTAGAATGGTCGTCGTTCGCCTCATACAGAACACCGGTAACAGAATTCTAGTCTCAGATGGGCATTTGTCACTCATGTGGGCACAGTAAAGTAGACTTTCGTCCTTGATGATCGGCTCGATCATCGCCCCAGAGGCTTTTTGACCTGAAGATGGCACGGCAAACATGATTGTAAGCAAACACACGCCTTCTAGACAGATCCCACCAGATTTCAAGATGTATCCGTGGAAAAACTTTGAGGATCTTGCTAGCCGTTCTCTGAGCGACTTTCGTCCAACTTCTGCAGAAGAGCGTCGTGAGCCCGGCACGGTACCGCAAGGACCATTACAAGAGCATGCCGGAAGACCAGAAGCAGAAGATTAAGGACGAGCTAGACCGCCAGGTACGCGCTCGCCGCTTCCGACGCTTTTATCGTCGAATTGCTTCTGATAGTTGGTCCGTCCTGGCTGTTTCTTTGTTACCAATACGAGATGTCCTGGGTCGTCCGCGTTAGACCTGAGCTCATTTTTGCTGGTCTCGTTTCAACGCCTTTGTGCAAGATGGGCAAATCACAGGTATCGTGTGCATAAAAGCAAAGCTTGAGCAATTCAGGAACTGCAAAACGAGAGGTTGTTGGTACGTCAGCACCAAAGAAAGACCAACTTTGAATGCGAGAAAGAAAGTGCGAGTCTGCAAGAATGGACTGCTTAGAGCTAGGAGGGCCCCTTCTTTCTGCTTCAACAGAACACTCATCGAAGCTTCAAGGAGTTGACGAAGTATTGCGGATTAATTATCGTCTGGCACAAACTCTCGGGTTGACTAGAGAAGGCGTGTCACAAAAGGCTTCTAATAGAGAGTAATGCAGTCCCGTCTATTTATCCTTCTGGAAAGAGATTGTATCGAGCCTCCATGTCGTTCCCCAGTAGGTTGGCACAATCTCAATTCTTTGTGGCATCAGCTTAAGCAAAACCGAGTCATTGCAGATACCCCTCTCGGCTTGCGCACTCTTGCCAATTTGAGGATTTCTGATTTCTAATTTTCGTCAAACACGTTTCGGTAGGAGGGGAACGGCCTGAAGTTCCCTCTTTAGAACTTCCGCGACATTCGCATCAAAACTTGAGTGGCGGGAAGAATTTGCCCGGCAGGAGTCGGCACTTCCAACGGTATTTAAGGCATCCCCAAGTGAAACTCGCATTGACTTTACTCCTTAACAGCTGATGGAAAAGCGCGCGCGCAAGCTGGCAGAGCAGTCCGAGGAGGCGGCGCACGCAGCGCACCAGGAGATGATCCGGCTCACGCTTGAGCGGCGAGCGGCTGAGGTGCGACTATCTGACGATTTCATTTTCTGTTTCACTTTTTGGGCTTATCATTTTTGATTCTTATCTCCATTCCTCACTCCCTATTTCATCTGCTCTTTACGGTCTGGCTAGTATTGATTTTTTATCAGCTTCCGGCCCGCAGGCAACTTTCGAACCTTAGTATGTGCCACAACACAAGAAAACTATTTACCTACGTACCTACCGTGACCGCGCCCGGCGCGTTATCCGAGTCCAGCTAGCGCGGCCGGACGCGCGACAAGTCGCGATCGCGCGGCGTTACTCGGCCAGACGAAATTGTCGCCGTCGATCGTACCGATCGAACGACGGATACTGCAACTCGACCCACAAGAACCAAATTTTTAGCACTACCGGTTTATATACCCGACGAGCCCCCTACTCCATCGCTGGAACGTGTCGCGGCGTTCTGTAACCCGAGTGGGGGCAGGGTGGTGGAACTACCGCTCGTCTGCGACGGCCCATGTCCGCATGTTGAGGGCTTGCCCACCCCAAGCTGGGAGTCGGCAACGGCGCCCCCCGGAAGGGAGGTGACGTGGTCGTTGAAGAAGGGGGAACCGCATGAGGCAGGCAACTGAGCAGTGCAAACTCCTCGCTCTCAGCAGTGGGGGGAACACGAGCCTGAGTGATTGGAGGTGGATCACTGGCGCAGAATGGAGCTGGGGGACCCTCATCCGTAACACAACCTTTTGGCTGCCCCATAAACCTAACCTTTTGGCCTTTTCCCCCCCTCTCACGCATATATAGCAATACTAGCTCGATCGTCATTTCTCTTCCCCGGTTCATCATTTTTGCTTCTCACATGCATCATCGGTCGGCTCAAAAATGATCAAATTCTCGATTCAAGTCTTGCCGGTCTCGAGTCTGTGGAACCACTAAAAGCACTACTCGAACATGCTTTGAAGCTGCTGGGCTGTGATGTAAGTGGAGAACTTGGGCTAGCTATGGACGTGACCCCCTATGAACAAGAAGTCTGGGTGCGCTTCGTCTCACATTCATGTGCGGTCAGAGTATATTAACATACCTGTGAGCCACTTTATGAAGGACAGTAATCAATCGGCTTTGTCTTTCAAGCCTGCATAGAGTGATTTGACACAGCCACAAAGTGTAACATCGAAAGATTGAAGCTAGCGGATCAGCACACCACTATGCAAATATTGTGAGTGTGTAGTTGCTTGACAATTCGAGTTCCTCGCCCTTCTTTTGCAGGCAGCCGCAGCCGCTCGGCTTGCGAAGATCGACCTCGTTGAGACCCAGAAGGTTCAGAAAGTGGGGCATACTATCAGGTGGGCACATGCCTTTGAGTTCTTTGTACTCCAGGGGGCAGAAAAGCGTCCCGTCTATCTGACGCATCGGGAGCTTCCATTGTGGCAATCAATTGAAACGTGTGAGTGCCCGCTGCGGCTGCTGGACAAACAACGAACAAAAGTCGCGCGTTGCTCGCCACAAAAGTAGTCTGACGGGCCGATCAATTCACGAGAAGACTACTCGGACTTGTTCGGATGGACTCTCTGCTGGCAATGATACTCACAGGCCCGTTCTTTGTGATGGGGAATACTCAATTAACCAGCAGTTGGAGTCTCAACCAGCAGTAATTCGATTCTCGGCAGTTCAATCTGAAGCCTAATCTCAAAATCTTGCTACAGGGAAACGACGCTGAAGAAGGAAGTCTACACAAACGTTCCGACCGAAGCGTACTTTGCTCAATTCAACACCCGGAGCCGGTAGCAATAGCGTGACAGATAGCCTGGGATCTGAAAGAGATACTTATAGAATAGGCCGGTGGCCCCCTAGTGGGAACGGGGGTCTTTGTACATGCGTGTTCGTTAATGAAAGGATGACAATCGGTTGAACGCACGTTCATGTGCGGTGAGCCATGTCTCATGCATCAAGACGGCAGGCTGCCAATGGGCGGCTTAGTCAATGGCAGATTGCTCTGGTAATGCACTTGCTCTGATGTAGATAAGAGTTTCTCTTTTGCAGAAGGTAGATTCTCGTCACCTCGTGTCGTACCCCAAGTGATGTACACTCGTCGCATAAGCAGAGCGACTGATACGCCAACTTTTGAACCACAAATGCAATGACGGCTGGAACCAGACTGTTTCCCGGGAGTTCGTGCCAAGTGACACGTGGCATGGCTGATCAAGACTTTGAAAGTCGGGCAGCCATGCTAACCGAAGGGCCCGTCACATAGCATGGTCCAAGTACACGATACACGATTTCTAGTAGAGCACATATGGCATCGTGATGATTTTGCCGGCTAGACAAAATTCCAGGTTCATACGCAAATCTAGAGGAGATGCAAATGCTGTCTGCATTGGATACTGGAGGTGCATGCGACATGATCGATAAGGGCACCGACGGAACATGTGCACCATTGTTCTCGATGTGAACGCAATTCTGTATCATGGTAGATAGACATATGGTTGAGTTTGCGAGACCTACGTACTCGAACTTACGGGCCCGGGGAGACACGTCTCATGTGGGCTTTTTGCGTACTTCCACCATAGGTTTCAGCTCTTCAAACGCCGCCCAGTCTAGCTGGCACGCCGTACAACAGAAGTTGGCCCCGCCCTCCCGTTCGCCAAGTCTACAGCCTTTCAGCATATGCACAAACTGTTGAAAAAGCTTCTCTTCTGCTTGTGTCTGCGGACGTCTTCCAAGAGTAACCACTCCGCTCAATTTTCCTTCATGTGATCCAGACCCAACGGGCGGCCGGCATATCCGTAGTAGCTGCCCTCTGAGCTCAAAAAGAACCCCCTCACCATTCAGAAATCTCGAGAATTCAAGAGGCCCGCTCCACAGCCTTGCGATCGTGGGCGATCTGCGGGCTGTCTCATTTGGCTGCAGCTCGTAAACTTCGAGGGACGTCTTGCCACAAAGGCCTTTTTTGTGAAAGCTGTCGCCACGTGTCGTACGATGGCGACCGCATTCTTGTTCCAATGTTTCCGCAAAACGGTCGGCTGTCGTAGAAACGGGTTGCAACTGGGCTTTAAAATCTGGTAGATCAGAGGGGCCAACCGACAACGAGCCCAGCTTGGCGTCTGCCCTGACGTCACTCGTCGTATCGCTCGCCAGCTTATGGAGGCCCCACTTAACGGCGCGGCCTTGAAGCCGAACCAAAATCAGGATACTAGTAGGCTCCAAGGAAGTTTTCATTTGTTTCAGAGAGTCGTCGGAAAATGCATTGCCGCTGCCAGCTAAGAAGTTCCATCTCGCAATCGCCTGGCTTTGTTCAACCGCGGAGGAGGCCGCAGCACCGTTCATCACGCAACGCGCTGCCACGAATTCTCTAAAACCGCCCAGTGACTCTATTTCAGCACTCAGCCCCGAATTCTTTTCCTCGATTTGATGAGTTTGCTCTGTTTCTTGCCCAAAGCTTGAGCCGTAAAAGAGGTCCTTCCAGACGTTCGAATTGGCTTCAGTTACGTCAACAGGTCTGTAGCGCGACAGGGTACTTTGATAAGGTGTACATTTCTCCGTTCAGGTATGAACTTGTCTCCAGCGCGCCCTATTCGTTACAAGACTCATGCCCGTGTTTATACACAGACCGGTGGCGTTGCCACGGGAAGCTCCTCGCGACAACGATTAAAGCCCACCGCTGCCGTTCACCTCTTCCCACTCCTTCCGCCCCGCCGCTGCGAGAGCGAGCAACCTCTTGTACTGTTCATCTGCTCCCTCGAAGCTCAGGATTGCAACAATGCTCATGCGGACACGCCGGCCGAACGCCTGGCAGGGGAAAGGAATGGTTACAATGTAAGCGAAGCGGAGTGGAGAAGTCAAGGCAGAGAGGCTCGACGCGACCACCGCAGCAACCGACTGCGGCTACGTACTGACGGACAAAGCAGCCCCCGTTTGCCCGGAATTCGAAGACAGATCTTTGTTTGAAGGGACACTGCACATTTGGTGCCAGATTACGGACTCATCAGTGAAGCTGCCTTGACCCTGCTAGCGATTCCTTTTGGGAATGATCATTCTGAATGAGCTGCGCGCATGATAAGCAGATCAAACCTGAAAACCGGACTGCTCAGCTTCCTGAAAGGTTAAGCCAACCCCGGACCACCTAACCCAATAACTCCCGACACTTCTTCCAAAGCACTACGCAAAGCGGCACGGTCCATCCCCAACATCCGAATTCGTTCTAACAAACTTTAGGCACAAAAAGACTCAAGCCGAAGCGGTCTCAACGCCAACTCTTCCACCGGCAGAACCCTGAGCCTCAGCATCTCGTACCAGAATCTGCAACAATAAGTGCAAAAGCGAGTCGCTCAAAAGGACATAAAGAGGCTCACGTACGAGACTGACGCAACTCAGAACTGCATAAGCGAGTGGCTCAGAGGAACATAAAGAGACACAGAGTCTAGCGAAGCCGAGTCTCCTGTTCGGTCACCTGGGCGATCCGAAGCCGGGTTAGCGCGCATACGACGGGGACCCCATTCTCCCGTGCACTGCCGAGAATGGCCTCCAGCGACGTGTCGAGAACGCCGTCTTCGGTCGTCTCTTCGATGTTGGGGGCGACGATGAGGCACCCCGCGCGCTTGGTCTTGACGGACTTGGCCACCTGAAAAAGAGTGTCCAAGGGTTAGCCACGGTTGGTAATCCAATTTCTTCCGCTTGGAATAAGTGTTTAACGTAATGAGAACCTAGACCAGTGGAGCGGATATATCGAACCGGAGGGTTGACGGGGGACTGGACCTTAAAAAGGCTTTGAACAGTTTGCCGGAAGCAGCGTCAGACATCGCCACTCTGAAAAGCTAACTCGAGAGCCGGGACGGCGCAAGTTTAGCAAAAGAGTACTAGCGTTCGAGCAGAATACAGCAGAGGAAGACCACGGGGAGCATTTTCTGTTCGGAGAGCGGACCAACGAAAAGAGACTACGACTTGGGCGCCGGTCCCAAGTCCGGTCGGGCTGAGCTTCACGGACTGCTGTGAATCACATGTAGAAGTGATGGTTGAAAGGCAACGCAGAACGAACCCCGCTTTAACTCTGCCTAACCAATCTGATTTTTAACTTCTGATCTCGTCTCCCACCGGAGGCTCACGATCGACGCTTCATCTTAGTCATCAGCAAACCTGGATACTGACCATGAAACCACGTTTCGGAACTGCGGTTATATCCTCCCATACCACCCGGAAGCCCTGTGAGCCACAGTTTCAACCTGCGCTTAGCGCTAACCTCACCTCCCGGAAGCCCGTAACCAGGCGGCGCTTCATCTTGAGCTTGGCGGGGTCCTGCGCGCGCACGCGCTCCTGGAACCGGAGCAGCTCTTGCAGCAGCGCGAAGCACGTCGCGTTCAGCTCGGGCGAAATGACTTGCTGGCAGTACCTGGAAGTAAAGAATCTGACGTCAGCATTTCGCCACGTCGCCTACTGTCGAAGTCTTCGGTTGCGCGAAGAGAATGCTGACGGTGTCAAGTTTGGAATCAGCTCTTGCAGCAGAGCGAAGCATGTCGCGTTCAGCTCGGGCGAAATGACTTGCTGGCAGTATCTGGAGGGGAAATAGACGTCAGTATCTTGCGACGTCACCTGCTAAAGTCTTTGGTGAAAAAGATCGAAGGCGTAGAATGACGGGATGACGAGCTTGGAGCCAGCTTTTGCAGCAGCACGAAGTTTTCTTGCTAACAGTATCTGGGCAGAAAAGCGCGGATCGCAACTTTCTGTGACGTATGTATTACGGTATTCTTTGCGGATTTCAGCTGCACACGATTCTTTCGCTGGCCGTCAAGCGATGGACAACAAAAGACCCGTTTAACGACTAGCTGTCAAGCGCCGAAGGTACTGGCCGTCCACGAGAGGAAGGCTATGCAAGGCACAATCAATAGAGGGGCTCGGCAGTAAGAAAGAATGGCGAGACACTGCTTGCACTCTGACAAGAGTTTTAGTCCCTGCAATCGTCAAAGAATCGAACTAGTAAGCTGTGAAGCAGTCTCTTCCATGCTTACCTTATCTTCACGTTCGGGCCTATGTACGTCACAGGTTCCTGCTTTTGTTTGTGCGCTCTAACCAGTCCAGTCATGTCGTCTTCGGCCTCGGTCCAAGTCTTCCCGTCACCGTCCCCTTCCTTGAATACGGATGCTCCTCCAGCCTCCACAGTATTTTCGCCTCCGCTTACGCTCGTCTCAGCACCACCACACCCGTTTGTACCCCGGGTTCCCCTCTCACGATCTCTCCCCTCAGACGGCCCTGCCTCCGACCCCCCCTCGATAAGATGGTCCGCTGCAGGAGTCTCCGCTGCGCCCCCTGAAGAAGCCCTCACCTCACACTGAACTGCCACCCCCCCTGAATCAAGGCTTGCAATTCCCCCCTCCCGCGCAACCATCTCCTTCTCTTGCAGCACGAGTTTCTTCAGCTTTGAAAGTCGCTTCTTCTTCGGCTGCTCTCTCTCCTTCCCCCTCCGCTCCACCAGCCCCGTCGACTGCGCCGTGTTTGGGTTCGCAACTTTCTTGTCCTTGTTAACCCCTTGGGTAATCGGTCTGTGCCCCTCCCCACTGATTGCCGCCGCCGCATGCCCCGCCAACAAACTCACCCGCACTCTTTCCGTCGCCCCTTGCTGCTTATCGCCCGCACTCTTCCTTTCCTCGTTCAGTGTCTTACCTTTCTGTCCTTCTCCAGATTGCGCAGACACCCCGAAGTCAGAAGACCTCGTTCCATTTGGACGTTTTCCCTCTGTCACAATGCTTTTCCAGTTCGAGGGCCCCCCACCCAAGCCCCCCTTTCCCGAACCCCCCCCACTCCGGTTTAACGCGCCCCCGGGCAGCGCCTCTAAGACTGGCGCCAACCCATCAAGGAGCATAACCGGGGGCCGACGATTCCCCCGCCCCCCATCAACCGCCTCCGATGCTTCCCTCGCCCTCCTCTCTTCCGAATTCTCCCCATCGTGCAGAGTCACAAGGTGACCAGCCAGCCCCTCATAGCTCCCCAGGACTTTCCCACACGACAAGCAGCGCACGTTGCCATACCGGTCGAGGGGGCTCTGATGAGCCTGGCTGTTGATCCATTCCGCACGCGCCCGCCGCTCCGCTTTTGTTGGGCGGGGTATGGTGCTAGAAGCCTCTGAAGGGGGGGTGGCAGCATTGCGGGGAGCCAGGTTTTGGGGGGGGGTGGTACCTGATCTGGAGGGGGTGGCGTTTGCCCTAAAGCTGCTTGTGACATGGCCCCCAAAAGGTGCATCACCCCAGGGGGGTCCTGTGCGCAACTGAGAGTCACTCATGGCATCGTCGCCTAAGGAGACTGGAACTCCAAAAGGCTGTGGTGGATCAACCCGCTATGTACAGTGTTCGACACTCCTCTTCCTGCATACAAGAAATAGTTCCTTGAAATGCAGCCAATTTGATACTGTGCAGATCAATCTACTAAGCTTCACTGCCTGAAGCCCTGTGAAAGAGTACTGACTAGGAAAACCAATCTGCAGTTTGAGTATTGTCTAGAACTCAAAATACTGATGCTTCAATATATCAACCATATCAATCCTGAGCTCTAGAAGTTTCTGATCCCCTATGGTGTCAAGGGCAATCAGCGCGTCACCAGTTCCGTGTGTGACCGTTCCACGATGTCTCACTACTCCATTACTGTAGGGGCTCTCCAATCAGCCCCAACGAGCCCTATACTCAATAGAACCCTCAGCATTCCATCTGTAGCCACTCTGAGTGTGCACCACCACAAAGTTGCATCAGAAAAGTTGCATCAGAAAGCTCATGCTCCGCTGCCGCTGATCTCATCTCAAATGGACCCTGTGACCACCAGCACAAAATGTCTACCCAAAAAGCTCAGCTTCTCACACCGAACCATGGTGCAACTTTTTGTCTGATGGGGCATATGAACAGATGCATTACATGCACTTCTGAAGTAGCAGGGTCATAAGTCAGGGACCGGCTTGGCCAAGGCTCCCACTGTCTCAGTCCAGTTTTAGCGTCGTGGCTTGTAAACTAGTCATCATCAAGATCACAGACCCGGCCTTGCTTTTCAACAGAGGCTTACCGGGTTGGAGCTTCGAAAACAGCATCCACCGGAATTCTCTCTACGCACCACACCCTTAAAGGGCCAGATGATGTGCAATGTAACTTCTGTCGATTGCTCTGAATCCGTTGCAAGTGTCTCTGTGCGTGCAATCTGCAATGGCGCAGCGGAGCTCCAGCGAAGCTCCACCATCATGAATCTGATGCGCGCGGAGTACTCTTGGCATTGCAGCAGAGCAACTTAACAAGGTTTTACGGCCTCCACGCGGCCGCCCGGCCGACGACCTCGCCGTAGCCGGCCGCGACTGTTCGCTCGGGAGCACCAGCAGCTTAGAAGCTAATACGAAGCTTCCCTTTGATACTTTGAAGTCACGCACAAACGTCACTTAATTTCACACTTTCTCCTCGACGTTCAGCTGTTCAGGATTGGCCCGTTTTACCACAGCGTTGTACGAAATGTTGCCATACTCTGATACTTGATAGTGAACTTGCCGCCGGCACAGCCGACGTTTGGACGTCTGACACATTCTGTACATTCCAAGATTCTGGCCATGATCTGGCAGCATACTCCCTATCATACCAGGCCCCACGCAGAAGCTGCAGTGTGCAGCGGATCTTGACTCAGGTACTCGTTTCCGGTTTGATCCCTTTTGAACTCTGGACACTGCCATGCTCTCGGCCTGACCTTTTTTAACCTTTGCGGGCGACATTCGGCCGCGGCATAGGGGGCCCATACAGCTGACTACGATATCAGATTTGGATGTCTAGATCTGCTGTTTCTCTGTTTCGTTTGCATCAAACCTACGATCAGGAGACGATGACCGTACGTTCGTTAGGAGTTTGTGCATCGCGCGCAACAGTATGTCTTGTAGATGCTCGACCAATGATTGATCAGTCAGTGATAGCTTGAATCTTCGTTCCATTTACTTTTTTTCTAAAATCGAATGAAGCTACATGAATGCTATACTATTACGTCAAAAGGCAGTACCCAGTTGACCAGTTGACCTAGTTTCAGAGATGCTCGAATCCCAGTAAATCTATACTCGCAATCTGCAAGCTGCTTCCCGCTTTAAACCATCTTACTGCCCTAAGTATCGAAGGTGTTGAATGCAAGCAACGTGATGCTTCCACATTCTGTAATCTCTAGCCGGACCAAAGAAGTCTCGCAATGCTTCACAGTGTCCGATGACGTCCATCACGAGCTCCAAATCCTTCGTCTCAGCAGCAATACTTCCGGTCGTGTGAGCACCGACCTTTGTCAAGGCTTGTTCAAAGAAGTCTCCCGGGTCGTCCATGGATTTTGGAAGCTCGAAGATGATCAGCTTGGAGAGCTGCACAATTTCCAAGAAAGGCAATGTAGTCAGACTGTGGCTGAAGACGTCGTGATACATATCTGTGAAAAGGGAGTCTCTCCGATCGGATAACAAGACCCATACATGCCCTCGAGCTCAAGCAAGCACCCAAGGGGAGAGTTGAGAAGCCAACTGACGAGAATTCGAAAAAGAGGCAAGCCCAAACTGGAAGGGTAGTCGGCACAATCCCCAACCCAACCGCAAAGACAGGTGCTTGGCACATCGTAATATCTTATAATATCATTCCCACCTGAAAATATCCATTATGAAGCAGGAAAGGAGAAACTAGATAAATTGTTCAACGACGGGCAGTCGAATACCGGGCTCTAAAGGACACCACGTGCAGCAGCAAAAATGCGAAGAAACTTAGAAAAATCTCTACCTTGCAGATGGTAGGAAGCTGCTGCACGACCATGTCAGCTCGAAGGCCTCGCTTCGCTGCCGCCTTGGGCAGCTCTGTAATCAGAGCGTTTTCAAACTGAAAGCAAAACAAAGATACTAACGTTCAGAGGCAGCGTGTCCCCCATGTATAACCCATTCATAAAGCCGTTATTTGGAATGCCATAGAGCCCAGGAAAGCTATCAGACTGCATTAGAAATCTCTGCATCGAAATCTTTGCATCGAAAGGTGCTTTTGCATAGAGCTAGTTTTCCTATCGATGTCGCTGCAGATTCATCGAGACAATCTTTGCAACCACGGAATCTCTTCTCGCTTACCTCTTGAGCGAAAAGCTGGGTCTGTCGAGCGATGTTGCAGTACTTGAGCGCAGGCAAAGTTGCTTCGTCAAAGGCATAGATGCGCGGGTTTCCTGCCAAGCCCTGGCTTGCACAGCGCTCGTCTGCGTAGAAGTGGAAAAAAGGCAGTGATCAGATTCGTGTCCGTCAGAGCATGGTGTAGCTTGCAATTTCAACATTCATCGCGAAGCACTGTGCCAATGAAGCACGGCTGTTCTGGAAGCAGAGCATTCAGTGAGGCTGTTTTGAGTCATTTAAGCAACGAAGAGAACCAGGGCGCTAAGCCGTGCAAACGGATTCGAACCGAAGCACGGTTTGTAGAATCCGAGATGACCTGAACGCAACGTACAATCGATGTTTCTAGGTCACCAGTACAAAGTGGGAAAAAGCAACAAGCACTTACAGAAAGGACGCGTAATCTCCTTAATTAGGTGGTCAAGGGAGATCTCATTTGCAAGATTGGGGCCGCCCTCATTCCGGCTAGAGAAGAGGCGGGGAACGTCTGCAGGCAAGGTCCTCCAAACTGCCTCCTCGACATCGCACACGTGCTCCGGAAAGCCCCTCAGGACGATCCATCGGAAGAAGCTCTGCAAGGGAAATGCTCCGGTCTCCATCTTCTGACATCTCATGACAAAGTAAAACGGCGGCATCAGTTCGAAGCAATTCACCTGCTAAAGCATGAGTAGCTAATCAAAAAGATCGCACCAGAGATGTATAAAAGAATCAAATCCCTTCATTGGAAGTGACAGCAATCAGAACAAAATGACGGACTAGGTCCGCCAACAGCCTCTGCAAGTTCTGCAGCACCTTCACCCGGTGGTGCTACAAAATTAAGCAGGAAACGATCACAAGACTTGGGGCCGCCCCAGTCAGTCAAATCTGGCCAAAGTCTCCAGTGGTGGAGACAGTAAACCTAAGCACCTGAAGGGGACGCCAACAATAAGGCAGTCATGTTCGATTTCAAACCCAGGTTACGTACCTGGCCAACACCTGATGCGGCAGAGCTGCCAATGTAGAGTCGAAGCTGCTTTTCGAGCGCCATTTTCGTCTGCAGAATCACATCCTTGTCGAATGTGACGTTCAACAACAGAACGACTCGCTGAGCCAACACGCTTGCATCGGGCATGCAAGTATAGTACAGAGAAGTTTTGATTAGGAATAAGGGTCTTAAGCACCAGTTTCACCTGGCCAACTCAATTGGAAGAGTTTTGGTCTGCATGATTTGGGGGCTACCGCGCACTTCAGCCCCGCAAACGGCACTGCCTGTGCATACCTCTTGTGCGACTTGCAGCAGGTATGGGTCAGTGTAGATGATCAGGCCCTCCAGTGTCACCCTTCGTGCAGGATCAAATCACTATTGGTTTAGTTGAACCACTTCATTTTCCACGGACTTGCCAGACTGCACAAGCAATCAGGTACACTCAGTAACCGGATGTAAGAAGCCAACCGACTCAACATCGATGAGAAGAGTAAAAGGAAGAGGAAATATCAAGGGCCAGAACTCAAATCTCTGATCACACATGCAAGCTTTAGCCTGTCCCACTGTCCCAAGGTGCAGGGTTGATAAAAAGTGGGAGTACGTAAAAGAAAACACAGAACTTCAGAAGCCTACCCCCAAAAATGACAGTATAATTATGCGCAGGACGAAAAGGTGCAAGAACTGAAGACTTGGAAAGACGCACATATACAGAAAACAAAAAGTTCCTTAACCTAGCTTGCCAGATGGACAGATGCGACCACATGAATTTGAAGGGGTTAAATCTGAAGTGCTTCTAGAAGGACAAATTAAAAACATACACATGATGACTCCACGCTTCAAGTCGAGGAAACCCGCCGAGGAACAGGAACAATCGGCAGGCTCATTAAATTTTCAGAAAGAAGAGCACGCACCTTCGACCTGGCTCTCCTTGAGTTGTTCACCACGTTGTTGACAATCTGCCATCGTAGGCGGGTTGTACTAGGCTCACTTGAAAACTTGGAGGTTTCAAACTTTTCGGGGGATGCAGATCAGCTTCTCAGCCTGTTAATCTTGGTCCAGACGCTTAACTCGCAGGACGACGTGAGAGCGGGGCTTTCCTTTGAAGAAAGAAAAAGCTGGGGCCACTGAGGTAGTATGGGCACAGGCGGTCCCCCGGAGGTCCTAGCTAGCGCCGCCGCGGCGCCGGTGCGTTTATTGCCCCTTTTAACTATGGATCGCCGGTGTTTCTCCTCGCCTTCACTGCAAGTAGATGATCGTAAGAAGGAGTGGCTCGGAATGCAGGAACTGAGAAAGAGCGAACGAGCTGGTTGCGTAGCGTTCAAGTCATTCAAGCTTCTCAATTCAGACGGTGCATGGCGTCGTTATTCAGCGCGGCCGGCCGCTGTTTCGGGGTTCTTGCGAGGGTTCGACGAGGGTTTTGATGCTGCCCAGTGCCCACTTTCAAAGAAAGCCACGTGGCTAGATTCAGCCCATCTCAGCCGTTGAGCCAGGATAGGGGAATCTGGGTCGCATGTAAGGAGGACGCTCGTCGAACGCATCAGCGGGGACTTTCACTTTGGCGAATTCGACGCCAGCTTCGCTCAGAAGGAAAGCGCCACAACCTCCTTCCTCCTCAGTTTTGCGATTTTGGGAATCTGCTCAGGGCTTCCTTTGCTGCATTTTGCATCCGCCATTGTTGCTGCTAGTGCAGGGAAGTTTGTTGGAAAGCAGGGGGTGTCTGTTGAGAAGGATGGCAACGTCAGTGGCTGCGCGTGTGGGCTCTGCAGGGGCTCTGACCCTGCAATGCAGTGCCTCGAAGCAGACGGTTCTGTCCACCCCTTCTTCCTTTGTTCCTAGGTTCAGCAGAGAGCGCGTGCAGATTGCCGCCCCTGCTGTTAGGAGGGTCATCACATTCGTGGCAGAGGCGAGGGAAGAGAGCAGGCGGTCAACAGAGGCTAATGTTGGAGAGCGGTTGAAGAGCCTGGTTGACAGGAAGATCAACCCTATTGCCATTGCAGCTGTGAACATGCTGGTGGCCTGCCCCGCCCTTGCAGAGGAGAAGGGAAAGATCTTTGATTTTAACCTGACACTCCCAATCATAGCCGTTGAGTTCCTGCTCCTCATGGTTGCGCTTGACAACATCTGGTTCAAGCCGGTGTCGAAGGTCATGGACGACCGTGATGCGCTGATTAGGAATAAGTTGATGTCCGTCAGGGACAACTCCTCAGAGTTGGAAGCTTTGGAGAAGGAGGCGCAGCAGATCATCAGGGCGGCCCGGGTTGAGATCACGCAGCAGCAAAATGAGCACAAGAAGAAGCTAGCAGAGAAATTGGATGCCGAGCTCCAAGAAAACAGGTGAGGATGACTGAGAACAATGTACAGATTCGAAGAACTGAAATTGGTCATCGAAGGCGTTACTTATTGAGCAAGATTGAGCGCCTGTTTTGCTTCAGATCCATATTGGGGATCCAAGGCAATTGTCTACGGGTTGGCCTTTTCTCTCTATATGATACATGCCTATCCAGTGCTACGGGCTTTTTGCTTACTTGCCACTTCAATGCGAGTAGTTTGCAGAATGGTCTTGTGGTTAAGGACTGCACGTTAAAGCACATTCTGTTGCCAGATGGGTCTGTGTTCATGTCTGTGGTCTTCCGTAGACTGTGATCCAACTTGTTTGAAATACAACCTCCCGAGCCAAATTCTTGTAATGAATTGTGGTCTTGAGCAACCCTAATGACAGCAGCCAAGCCTAGGAGTATGGTAACGGCCATGCATTGCAAGGGTCGTCTTTTGTGCACATAAGGGGTTGGTAGTTGCTCCTTTGACTAGGGTTGGAAGAGGTCCGCTGTGAACAGAGGCAAGAAAGCTGAAAGCATCTGTGCCGAATGGCGCTCACCTGCATCGGTGCCGAATGGCGCTCACCTGACAGAGCGCCACTTAGCTGCTCTATGATCACTTTCCACAACAGCTTTGGTTGGTAGAGCGGTGCAGCACTTGGCGACCTGCATTGCCACATCAGAAGGACATATGTCTTTCTTTTGTGCGATGCTTGTGTTAGCTTCTGTTTGGTTGTCCTGCATTGAGGGCCTGGTCAGGGTGCTTCTGAGATATGCCGATGGGACAGCATTGCTTGGTCGCTTTATGGACAGATGAAGAGTCATCTGCTGCTTTTGGATATGGTCGTCTAGCAAAACGGTCCGCAGAAGAAATAGTAGTCTGCAGACGAGCTAAACCGGTCGGTTGTAGAAGCACTCCATGATTGTGGCAATATCGTGAAGCTGGTTGACAACCCTAATTTCCAGCTCCACCTTCTCTTTGTTGGGCCTCCTTCTGCATGTGCCATTCAGCCGGTGACTATCACCCGGCACACATACAGCATTCTGCGCTGTCTCCTGGCTGTCAAAACGGAGTCGTTTTTGGCTCATTCTATTGAGACGGAAGCTTGAAGATGGTACTCAATCAGGCGGAGCAAGGCATTGCCTGGTTAGCAAGCAAAGAGCTAACAATACTCCTGATCACTGAGAATTGAAAGCACTTTCTCATGCGCTCTTGATTCTGCTCTCTTCAGGGCAAAGGTGGAGGCTGAGCTGGCCGCCGCCCTCGCTGACCTGGAGAAGCAAAAGGAGGAGACACTGGCCGGGCTCGAGTCACAGGTGCAGGCCCTTAGTGAAGAGATCATCAAGAAGGTTCTGCCCATCCCTCTCCCAGCCAAGCGATAGACAATTGGGTCCAATCACGCGGTGCGTTGCAAAGGCTCCGTCAAGGAGCACATATTGTAGTCCAGGGATCCGCAGGCTCCCCTGTCAGGGAAACTGCTAAGTTTTCAGGAACATTTGTGGTGGGTGAATAGAGAGGGCGGGGACTGTGCTCAGCCATGTGCGAACCTGTTGATATGATACATAAGTTTCAGGACGGCCTTGTCAACATGGAACAGCATTTCAGACTTGTCACACCAGGTGCTGCTAATCTTCGTTGAGATTCGTCAATGACCTTACGTGAAATCGCTCTCTCCTTGCATTTGGTGGTTGAAACTGGAACAAGGCACACTCCTCCTCATCACTTCGACTGGGATTTGCGCGCGGCACATCTAATCATGCAGTAGCAGCTGCAGTTGCTTGTTCCGGCACATAGAAATGCCGACTGATCTCAAGCCCAGCATGTCGGATGTGGCGATAAGTTGATTGAAACTTCTTGCTTCTTACAAGGGTATTGCGCATGTCGAACATCATTGTTCCCTACACGTCTATGAATCTGACTTGGAAACCAATCTAGGCCATGGGCACCCCGCAAAAAAGATCTCTGCATTGAAGTATGAACTATGTAAGACAACATTGTGATTCTGTATGCAACATATTGAAGATTCACAAATCAAAGTGCACTACAGAGAAAACGGTGAGAAGGTGGTCATTAACTAGCTTGATGCCTGGAACATAGCATGCGTACGTCCACACATCATGCAGGCTTACCGTCAGGGACGGACCACTAATCCGACCCGCTTTTTCAATCTGCACATGATGCGATACGTCGGGCAGTGCTATAGTTGTCTGTAAGTTGACCTGCAATGATACATATTTGGCATTGCTACTGAATCAAACATACATTGCTGTACGCCGTATGCTCATGCAGTGCACATGACACGTGAATCCTCCTGATCATGCAATTTGAGCTTCAAGGCGCGTAGCCACATAAAATCCTGAAGGCTGGTGCCTCATGAGCACTCAGTCTCATGGCCTGACTGAATCGAGAGCACGTGAAATAGAATCCTTCAACTTCCGAAGCCTCTTCTTCATTGTACAATGCAACCCATGACGAACAACTTTCTAAGAATAGATCGTCACAACGTCTCGTTTGTATCCCCGGACCATTAGTAGCTTTGGGACCTGGTCAACCAACAAATCCATGTACTCCATGTAGTTATAGCTGGGGTGCTTTGGGGGCGGTGGTGGAAGGCTGACAAGAACCACAGCGGCTGCGGCCCGGGAGTATTTTAGGATGATCGAGTTCAACTTCATGGTAGTATGTAGGAACTGCAAGAGAGAAGAACAGACGGACTGCATAAGGCCTCTCGCAGCGGATGTGCAACGTGTCATGTTGCAAGGTGAGAAATCCCAAAAGCTGCACAAAGACCGCTGGAATTTTGAAGCTGCTTGTAACAAAGGAGCAGCATTCCTGCCAAGCTTAGCGACTATGTCAATCAGCACAAATACGTTTGAACGGTGGATCTTGAGAGGCTGGGTTGTCCTCCAATTCGCACATGCTGCACTTCCATGACAATCACCGTTCACATCGCTTTCTTTGCAGTCTCTTCTCCTCGTTTTCCTATCCCCCGATCGAGCAGGCTTGCACAGCTCCGTACGAGTAACCTACACACTACCACTTCCATTCAAGCGCAAGACAACGAAAGCAAGCAACAGACTTGCTCCCTCTTCTTCCGGTCGTACTTTTCAACTCCCCCGCTTCTTACTGGACCTGCGACCTTCATCCAGAAGATACGAAGCGGATAAACGAGAAAAAGAAAACAAGAAACAACAATTCAATATGCAAAAGGCAGCAACCCCACCTGGCTCGTCTTCTCCTCATCGTAGTTTTTGTACTCGCCGTCCATTGGCCGCCGCGAGTCGCCCGCCTGCACCTCGGCCTTGTGCGCGGCCGCCCGGGCCGCGATCCGTTTCCGCGCCTGCCGTACCGCGTCCGCTGAGGTTTGCCGCTCGGCCGCGTGCTCCTCGGAGATGGCTGCCGCCGCCTGCTCCTCGTCCATTGCCCGGTAGTTCAGCACGATCACCTGAAAAAGAAAGAGACTTTAATGATTTGGAGTTTCGGAAGATGTGGAGTTTCAATGATCTATGGATGTTGCTTCCTAATCCGCAGCACCATCGCCTGGAAGCTGGAGGAGTCCAAAAGATACAGAATTGGGGGTTTATATCTGCAAGATATCAGGATGTTGATTCTGCAGAGTCAGTCACTACATTCAAACCCACTCGAAACTTAGGCGAAACCTAGATGCATCCTCCAGGCAGTCTAGGTTCCGTGTACGGTCCACATTGCGTTTGACGCACGTCTTGGACGCTTTTTACCCGTTTTCGGATGTCTCAAGCTGTTGAAGCGTCTTTCAGCGGGATCGGACGCTTCCCGAGCCCTCGCGGACACCTCCAATGCTTCTTTCAACCATTCCTCAGACACTTCTCAGACGCAAGGCACCTCGTTCCGGACAATCTGAAGACGTCGGAACGGTTCCCGATCGCCGCTACTTTCTGCAAACGCTTCTCGGACGCTCTCATCTCGGGTTTTATCCCCAAGTCCGAATAGGAACTTAGCGCTAGCCGCTCTCCTTATCGATGCTTCCCAGTCGGACCCACGCTGACCTGGTTGCGGACAGGTTCCAGTCGCGTCAAATTCTTCTTACAGGTTCCACGTTCTTTGGACGGACTCACCTCGGCCTCCATCCAAACGTCGTACGAAAACTTCTTCACAACGTTACAGAAAAACGCGGACCCTTTCCGACGCCTTGCGAATGGTTCGACAGTTGCACAGCAGATCCCGGACGCTCTTCGACGCGTTGCAGGCGCTTCCAAACATGCTCTGTAATTCAAAACTTGAACGCACCTCGGCCTCCATCCGCAGGTCGTACAAGAATTTCTTGACGTCCGCCTTCAGCTGCTCCGCGTCGCCCTCCTCCTGGGCGGTGCAGAAGACGCGGATCTTGCACGCCTCGAACGACTTTTTGGACTTGAGCAGCATGGCCAGGAGCAGCATGAGGCCGCCGTCGCGTATGATCCAGTATAAGTCGATGAAGCCGTACTGCTTCTGGTACTCGCCCGGCCAGTCGTCGATGCCCTTCACGATCACCACCGCCTTGCCGCCCACGTGGCAGTCGCGGATGATGTTCACGAACTAGGGGAGGGAGGGATCAGGGGGTGAAAACGGAGAGACGGGAAGTAAAGATTAACGTGCCATTTGCGGATGATACTTACAATCATGAGGAAGCAGGGGAGATTGGCGACGTAAGTTGTGTGAAATGAGGGGAGATGCGCGTAATCAACCGGTGATGATGTTCACGAAGTGGGGAAAGCGGGAGAGAAGGTGCGGTTAGAAGCGGAGAGATGGAGAAGCAAAGATGGGTGTTCACCAAGTGGACGAGGGACAGGGGTGCTGCATGCAATGAAAATGGTAGTTGGAGAGTGGTCAGAGGTAAGTAGTTAAAATCGGAGACTGCCCAGGCTCCCACAGTCGGAGGGATTGCAGGAAGAAGTCCGAAGAAGGCACTAAAAGTGCATTCCAAGTAATGACACATTTCAACAAAAGTAAGATTCCCGCAGACGAACAACGAGCATACACTCGGAACGGCGTCACAAAACAGGCTGTGGAACTCTGCCTTGCCCGCACCTGGTTGGGGATGTTACCCAGTTGCCGCCGCTCGTCCCGCCAGATCTCGGGGTAGCGCATGCACACCATGTTGGGCTTCAAGTTGCCGATGCCCATGCTCTGGATCAGCGTGCGGAAGCCGTCCTCCATTGTCCGCGCCACTATGACATCACCCACCTGGGGAGGAGGCCAGACTGCGAATTTAAGGCCTTTTCAGGGTCTTCTGGCGGCCTGATACATCTTTACAAGTCCTTGTGCTCTGACGATTCGCTAGCTCAGCTCCGAAAGAGTTGCCTTCTTCAAACTAGGCCCCACTACGTGCTTGATACTCCAACTCTCTTGTCCTCGCTCTAAAGTAGCATGCAGGATTGAGAAGGAGAAAGCCCATAGGGCAGAATAAAAGGAGAGAGGCTGTTTCTGTCCTCAAGCAGCAGAGCATTCCTTCCACATAATTCGAGGATGTCATGGTTGGAAGCAGGCCACGCCCCAAATCGAAGATCCTGGAGCGCCTTCGTGTGCCTGACTCACCGCTTCGCACTTTTTGTACTCGATGTAGGCCGTGAGCGTGCGCGTGGCCTCGCGCGCCTCCTCGATGCAGTCCCCGTAGTCGCCCTCCATGATGGACACGAAGATGGACAGCCCGCGGCCCTTCTTCTTCATGCAGTTGGCGAAGTCGGGCAGCATCGGGTGGCACGGCACGTCCGCGGGCAGGATGCCCCACGGCTTGCAGTAGATGAGCGGGATGGGGTACCAGTTCTTGGGGTGCACCTGCTTGGCTGCGGGAAGGAAGGAGGAAAAGAAAGAGAGCGTTCGATGCATGTTAAATCAACAAACCTTCAACACAAATGCTTGTTTGTTTTCAGCAGGGGGTGGGCAGGCGATAGAAGCTGTATTTTGATGATTTTAGGAGCGGCAGGGCTGATATCATCACCACAACTAGAGATGGACCGCCTTCGAGCAGCAAGCCGCGGTGGTCGAGTAGAAGACGGATATTCATGGTATTCACCAGGGAACTCAGGATACTGGATGGACCAGCTTGGTGTTAGGCATGCGGAAGCGGACTGAAAAGGCGATCTGAACCGTCTTAACACAGACAATCCTGGTTGATTCGGGTTGGAAAACGTCTTGGTGACGTGAGCGCAAGATTCGAGGAGCTAAATCGAAATTCCCCTCAAGGGTTACAAGCGGGAGGGCGGTTCACTGGAAAACGAGAAGGATTGCTAGCGGTGGTTCAGGCGGGGAACTGAGTGCTTTTTCCTTCTCAATCGCAGACAGGATAGAAGCAGCACGACTGGGGCTTCGTAGGTGGTGCATCGCAAGCAAGCGCAACTTAAGTTTAGATGCGTGCTGGTTTCACATACAGTGGACTTCAACACTAAGCAGTCCTATTGCAAATCAGAAACATGTTTTGAATGGCGCAGATGCTGACCTCCCATGGTGCGGATGCTGCGCAGCGCGAGCTGGAAGTAGGCGCTCTTGAAGCCATCGCCCCAGTCGCCGGCCTTGCCCCGCACGCTGACGTAGTAGTAGATGAGCGCCGCCAGGATCACCGAGATGATGGTGAACACCCACGAGATGATGAGCATAATTACTGCAAGTGCCAAACGAGGATGTTGAATCCAAAAAGTAGAAATGGTGGCTTTGAAATGACACACTTAGAGGAAGTAAAAACACACCTCAGCTTCAGATGTCAAAGCGAGAATATGACACAGAACGACCAAAACACAGGCTTTGCTTGGTCAACTTAGAACGGGCAGGGACTTGTCCCGAGGGCATTCCCTCAGCTTGTGAGAAAGAGCACAGCGTCCCTGTGAGTTATCAAGACGCTCTTCGAAACAGCCCTAGCTTCTCAATTGCAGTCGAACCATAAGTTGGTACTTTTGTGCACAGAAACGTCATCAAAGACTTCGAAACAGAATCATCCAAGCAGAACTGACCATGTAAACGGCACTCAACGCCACTCACCGAAGCATAGAAGCGCCCCGAAGCCCGACAGCAGGAAGTGGTGCCACTTCCATCGTGGCCGCCAACTAGGCGCGTCGAGCAGATCCAGCAGGAAGCAGCTCAGGTTCACGCCCGCATAGCAGAGCAGGAAGAACATGGTAATGATCGGGGTGATCAAATCCAAGTTCCCGATCAGGCAGCAGAGCATGCACAGCAAGAGCGTGATGCAAATCGCGCGGTACGCNCGCGGCTTCCGTTGGACTTGATAGAATTGAAGNTGGGC